GGGTATCTAACATGCTGGTATTATGAGTATTTGCACTGAACTAGTATATAAAGAAATTATTAATTAGAATTGGGTGTTATCCAAAGATAGATATGATGACGAAGGATATTCGGTGTTTTCAATAAAATTTCTTTATGTTTTTTTAATCTGACTTGGTGATAAGTCTTTCTTAGAGCAGATATCGAATTAAGGTCCTATTTACAAAAAAAATATGTCTAGAATTAAGGTGCCAGAATAAATGTACATTTGCTTCACGTAGAAATGCATTGTGATTCGCGGAACATTCAACAGAGGTAACAACAACAACAAAAATATGTGCAAACAAAAAAGGCTTTAATGAACAATTGCTTTAAATATGTATGTAGATATTAACTGTTCTGCTCCAAGCTCTGAACGCCAATTGTCAACCTCCAGAAGTGGCTGGAAAAATAGCTAAATAGGCAGCACTGTTGTCTGACTGCGTGTCTGTATGTCTGTCTGGTTGTTAACGTCAAATGTTTCACAGACTGGCGATCGGCTTCTACGGCTTTCGGAAATTGTAAACAAAACGGCACGCAGACACACATACTATAAATATTTTAAGAGATAAAAAGCCACAGCAATAACAACGTCAAGATTGCTAGTTAGCTATGACTGTTTGAAGGGTCTTTTCCATTGCATATCGGCATAATATATAAATACCTGTATATCTATCTGCCTATAAAGTCGTCCATGTGGTGGTGGTCGTGGTTGTGGTTGTAAGCAAATAATAGTTGGCTATGAGTGTGCGTGCATGTCTTGTACCTACATTGACCTACTATTCGAAATTGTTGTTGTTGTGTTGTTGTTTTTGCTAGCTGTTAGCTGCTGTTGTTGTTGGATGTGATGTAATTGAACTAAAAGCGCACGCCGCGCAAACGCAGCGTACATATCAAAGAGTCGGTTCAAGTCCGAATTCGGGGGAAATAAGTCAAAATACCAGCAGCAACAACAACACTCACAGTATCTACATACATTTACCGTTAATTTCTTTCACACCACAAACACACAAACATAGCTGTACATAGACTATATACCTATATGTATGTATAAAGAGCCATGTCTGTTTGCCAATTTCGTCTTTAGATTTGCTGTTGTTTTCTCGTAATATTTTTTTAACAATTTTTTTTTTGGGTATTTTTATTAGACCGAGTTTTAGAGGTCAGCGCACATTTGGCGCAGCATTGCAATGCGTTTTTTTTTAAAGCTTTTTGTTGTTATTTTTTATGGCTGGGCTTTTTATGCACCATTAAGGCTTATATCTGCCTGACTGGCAACTGACCAGCTGTGCCTTTGTCCGACCGTTGATTTGTGGCTTGGCTGTTGTTAATAAAATAAAATTCGCTTCAATTATGTGCAGATACTTGCATTTCCTTTATAGAGAAAGACTAGGCTAGGTTGACGCCGATTTAGAGGACACATAATCGCCTTAGTTGTATAGACCACCTGGTGGCACTTCTTCTGCTCAACCGGAGGGAAGCTGCTCTATGTTTTCCACGTCTCTACAACTCCTTCAGAAATTATTGAATAAAATGCCAAATTCGTAGCCAAGTAGTTTGCCAACCCTGTGAGAACGATGCAGCACCTTTGCAACTGTGCGTATACGTAATGTTTTCGACTTAATAAATATTGCGTATACGCACTTTCGGCATTATTCATTTGCATAAATCTTACAAACAAACTGTGTAGCTCGTACAGCATGAAAGCAACTTTAGTTCGGATTTAGCTTCCTAGCTTTTATCGTGCGTGCTGGTGTGTTGATCATAGCTTTTGTGTTCGGAATTTCCACACCAAACAGGAATAATGTTAATGCTTCATAACGACAACCAAATTAAATTAAATTTGAAAGAAATTTCGGGGTTGAATTCTTAAACAATGCTTGCATTATCAATTGAAATGTTTTCTATGCCTCTACGGCTGTTCTAAGAATATTACACATACGCCGTGTGCTCAGCACAGCAAGGGTTCGTTACGCGTACTTCTCGCAAATCAACATCCTTTGCAAATCTCGAGCAGTCTGCGTAACGTAAATCCGCCCAGCCTCCCAACCCCCCTCCCCACCATCCCAACAGCTCCAAAAGTTGTTGTTAAAAATAGAGGAAAAACAGCAAATAGAAAGAAGCACAAGAAAAACTATTAAGAATTGGCAGATATTTCCGACAGCCGCTTCGACAAGCAATTAAAATTTAAGCAAATACTCTCAAACAGTCAGTCGAAATGCCAACAAAAACAGCAACAACTGCGAAGGAAATTCGGAATATTTTCCCGCTGCTGCTGCTTAAAACGATATTTATAATTTCCGCTTTGGCAACAAAAATTAAAAAAAAGAAAAAGTAAAGTCGAAATACATAAATGTGAAATAAATCGGCCGTTTTTTTTTTTTTTTTTTTTTGTTGAATGTAAATGACTGTGGACTGGCACTGTGGGTTGGTGGTTCAGTGGTTCGGCGGTTCGACCTGACTGCCTGCCACACAGCTGTTTGTGCGGCATTTCCGTGCGACGAACGGACGGACGGGCATTGCACGAGTTTGTTTTTTTATTTGCTTGCGTGTTTTTTTTTGTCGACTGGTTTACTCTGCCTGTAGGTAAATAATACGTTTATGTGCCATATTTTTTAACATTTTAAATTTTTTAAATTTTGTATATGTATATACATATATGTGTGACTGTGTGTGTGTGTGTATTTTACATGCTACTTTTTAATTCACCCACAACGAGCGAACGAACGAATAAACGGCAATCAAAACCTCTGTTTATGCGTTTGTACATTTGTTTGTTTGCGCGAGTGTGCATGTGTGTGTAGGCTTGTGTATTTAAAAAGCTGTAAAAAGCACAAACACACGCACACACAAACACACACACGCATACGCACACAGAGCACGTACAACATGCAATAATGCAGCCAGCAAAGCATAAATTGTAAACTCGTCGCCGCTGCCGTCGACGCTGCCGTCTGTCGACAACAGCAGCAGCAACAACAAGCTGACAAGCCTTGACCTGATTTCTCTTCCTCTCTTGCTGCCAACTACTTATAACTGTGTGTGCTTGTGCGCTTGCATGCAAGCTTTGTTGTTGTTGCTGTTGGCGCTGCGGCCGCTGTTGGCTTTTCCTGCATACTGCATGCACAACAAGTGCGTGCGAGCGAGATAGCAGCCGAGCACATTAACAGCAATGTAAACTTGCTCGTGTGTGCGTGTGCGTGTGTGTATGTGCTTGTGTGAGTGTGTGTTTATGCACAGCTTGACATTCAATGCAATTTTTGTTATTGTTGTTGTAGTTGTTGTTGTTGCTGTTGTCGTTCTTGCTTTGGCTGCTGCCATTTCGCATCAAAATAAGTGAAAATGCACTTTTACTTTCCAAAAACGCAAAAAAAGAATCACAACAAAAATTGAACAACAACAACAGTGATGCCAAAAGCAAGAGCAACAACAGCGCCAGGCAAGTTTTTTTCTACCGTTGCACTTCAATGCGCACAGCAACAACAACAACAGCAAGAGCAACAACATTGCGGCCGCAGCCAAAAGAAAGTGAGATGCAATTTTGTTGTTTCACTTTTTTTCGTGCATTTCTTTTGTCATTGCTTTTAACGGCTGTTTGTTGCTCTTGCCAGTGGCTTGCCGTTTCTGTTGTTGTTGTTTTGAGTTCATGGCTCGCCAAAGTGGGGCATTTCAATTGCTGGGCCATAACATTCATGACTTGATCGAGTTATCGTTAGTCGCCTACTTGTAGTTGTAGTTGGCCTGCCCCGAAAAGTTAATCGCTTTGTGCGAAATCAGCCGACATTTTTTGACACTTTCAAGCAGTCAGGCAGTTAGGCAGCCAGCCAGCAAGGCTCAAGGGTGGCGCTCACTAGAGAATGCTCGTTATTGTTGTTGTTATTGTTGAAACACAATTTGTTGTTGTTGTTGGCATGTTAGGGGAGTGTCTGAGGAGTTCGTTGCCTTGTCAATCACAAGGCGGCGCTGCATTTATGGCACAAAGTTGCCCAACCCTTGCAAGCAGATAAGCGATGGTTGTAAATACTCTTATAGGTAATACAAATGTTGCATGTTGTGCAAATTTATGCGTAATATATGAATACAACATAGAGGGCACATTCAATATTTTAAGTTTTCATCAATTTCTATAAAATTCATGAAAACATTTTTATCATTTTTATATATCTTTGAGAAAACGAGGATAATACCAATAATCTCGTTTTAGGATTATCTATGCATATTAACCACGATTTAAAAATTTTAGCTTTTAACCATTATCTTACAGTATAATGATTAATTTTGAATTATACAAGTACTTTGCAACTCAACAAATAATCATTATTTTTGAAAAAAAAAAAAATAAATAAAACTCATAGAATAATGATTATTCTTTAATTTCTGCTCAATATTTTTATTTGTGGATCAAAAATAAAACTCGAGTTGTAATTTTGCCTTTTTCGTAGGGAATAAGTTTAAAATTGATTGATAAATATGTTAGTAGATATTTTTGATAGTATGTATTTAGATATTTAATTAAACTGTAAATAATTTTTTTAATGAACTTTTTTTTTAAAGTATGTTTTCTTAGCTATTGGGGTTCTTCGTGGCTCAATATTTAAGGATATATGTATATATAATTAGAAATAATCATTATGTTGTAATTTTGTATTATATTCCCTGGAATTTATTGCAATATGTGAGTAAATATGTTAGTAATTAGCCTTTCTAATACAAGTAGCTATCATATCTTTAGAAACCCTTACTGCTGATTGAGATTTTAGCATTCGACACTCTTATTTGATCGATGTTCAATATTTCTTAATGCCATTCAGCGCAGTGGCAAGCAGTCCTGTCACATGCTTAGAAGTAATTATGAAGGGATCAAACAAATTAGAATATCATAAGTAAAGTATCTTTTGCGAATCTGCTTTAGATTGACAATTTACGATACCTTTCGACTCGAACAACTGAATAATTTTTGCACATTTTTCTTCCTTCTTGCAGACACTGAAATTCCTATTGTGAAACAATCAACGAGTCCGGCACCACAGCAACAGCAGCAGCAGCAGCAGCAACAACAACAACAGCACCTGCAGCATCAGCAACATCAGCAGCAACAGCAACACAATGCAACAACCTTTGCGGGTGCAACAACACTTTTGCACATCAAGACCGAGCAAAATGCGCTCTTAACGCCATTACAACAACAACAGCAGCAGCAGCAGCTGGCAAATAGCTTACAACATGGTGGCAATGGTGGGTCGAGCAGTGCTAACAGTGCGCTACAACAACAACAACAGCAGCAGCAGCAACAACAACAACCATTGGCGATACCGCATCGACCATTGCTGCACAATTTGCTCAGCGGCGGTGCAATTCACAATCCGCATCACAGAAACTACACGACAGCCACAACAGGTGAGCACAAACATACCAGCAGACAAATAGTATATAAGCTTGTATATATGTATGCATGCTTGGATAACCGCCCGCAAGGTGAACCACTCGACACGCCCTCCACACACACACACACACACACGCACACACACATACATAAATATGTAAACATCTTCCCCACTCTATTGTAATGCAATGCGCTCGTCTCCGTCCTCGTTCTCGTCCTCGACAGGTTCATTTCCGCCCAGTCCCGCGGACAGCGGCGTCTCCGATGTGGACAGTTCCAGTTCCGGCGGTCAGCCGTGCGCCGACGAGTTGAAGGCCCGTCTCGGCATGCCCACAGCTGCTGCAGCAGCAGCCGCCGCGGCCGCCGCAGCCCATTGTACCGCGCCCACACACACCGCGGCCGCGGCAGCGGCCGCTGCAGCGGCTGCGGCGCACCTACACGGCACCGGCACGTTTCTGCACCCGAACCTCTATCAGAACAATGCAGCAAATTCGTTGCGGAACATCTGGAACCGTAGTGTTGGGGGTGAGTATGCAAAAACGATGTAGAGGGGATGTGCCGCCCCCAAAAAAATGTCCTAAGGTTTTAGGATAAGTAAGAGGGAATACATTTTATCTTGAATTGACAACTCTAAGGACTGAACAATACCGATAAAGTTCGAGAGATCGCAATAATTACAATACTTCTACTTCTGCTTAGACGGTTAGATCCTTTCCAAGGCCTTTTAACGAACATATAGTTAGTTGACCTAAATAAGTTTTATTGTATAACAACATTGTCAACCTTCACAAAGGAACAACTTTTAGTGCTAGAGAGCCAACAATTAGTCAAAGGATTATATCAGAACGTAGGAATTAAATTAAAGTTAATGAAAGGACATCAACTTCTCTTTCTTTTTATTTGTATTCAGGTGTAAATGGAGAAGGTTGCCATTTGATATTGGAAATGCTTGGTGTAGAGGACAAATTTGTTAAAAATTGCTTATAAGTGGGGTTTGTACAAATTATGCGTTAAAGGAAATTTAATAAACGACAAAGCCAATTTAAAAACCGCAGGTGGCTGTGCGTGAACAAAGTAAACGAAAAGGCTTCAAAACACTTCATTAAAGTGGACCGCAAAATTCGAAAAACTTGAAGTACTATACTTTACAATCTAAGGTATGGGTGGATACACACACATACACATACATTAGCTGGTTGTTCTGGAAAAAGGAGTCGACTCAATGGCCAGCAAGAGTGAGGCAGTATGAGGGCAACAAAACCCACACACACAGATACACAAACACACACACGCACGAGCAGGCAAATCAATTGCAATAAGAATTAGTTGCTGGTTGCACTCGCAACTGTCGTTAGTTGTTGTTATTGCTGCTGCTGCTGCTGCTTTTATGTTTCGCCTCGTCTATGCAGCTGTTTGTGTGTGTGTGTGTGTATTATGTGCGCGCATTTGTATGTGTGCGTCTCTGTATAAAAATCTGTGGTCATCGACACATTGCCTTTGCGCAAATTGTGAAGGTCACAACGACAACGACAAACGCGCATTTGCACTGCTGTGTGGCAATATTGGTGCTCAGAGAACGCCAAACGCTCACCAACACCAACACTAACAGCGGCAGACCAAGAGAGAGAGAGAGAGCCGAGTCATTCTACTGTTGCTTGGCTACAGAGAGCAGCTATAGAGCTGTACCGACGACGCCAACACCAACGCAAGTGCAATGCGGCGAGAGCAATGTTCATTGCTCTCCCTTTTACGCTCCCTGATTGGATTGCATTTGTGTTGGTGAACTGACTCTCTCATGGTATTTTATTTTCGACTGGGGCTATACTACCCCCCCTCCCACCACCCCATACCAACTCAACAAACACCATCCCATACGAACGCTTAGGCAGCCAGCAACTGGCGGACTGTTGAATTGGGCAACGGACGTCTGACGCCGGATGTAAGAAAACTTACTAAATAGCATACCAAATTATACCTGTGAGCACTCTGTGCACAGTGGGACGAATATGCAAATTGAAAAATGTTTAAATTTAAAATTATTATATTCCTTTCTTTCTTTAACACTTACAGTGACCGACAACTATTACCTGGCGACAGGCGGCAATGGCAACAACAACGGCGCTGGCGGAAACGGAGGCGGCAGTGGCAGCAATACCGGCACGCCGAATGCTCAAACTGCCAGCTATCTGACAACGTCCTACTTCAATGCGCCGGCGGTGACAGCATCCCAGCGCAGTGCAGCAAGCAACGGCTTTGCCACACATCATTCCCTGCAGCAGCAGCAACAGCAGCAGCAACAACAACAACAACAGCACGCCGCACAGCAATCGCTTCTGCAGCACACGCATCAGCAGCAACAGCAGCAGCAGCAACAGACGGCAGCAGCTCTGCAGCAGTTGCATGCGGCGCATCATCATCAACAGCAGCAGCAACAGCAGCAGCAACAACAACAACAACACCCGCATTCTCAGCTAGCGGCCCCGGTGCCGCCACCCTCGCATCCGCATCCACATCCAGCGCATCAGCATTCAGCACAGCACACGCATTCCACAATTGCCAATGCTGCGGCAGCGGCGGCGGTCGTGAGCAGCAGCAGCGCTGCAGCTGCCGCAGCGATGCTCGGCGTGAGTGCAGCAGCTGCGAATGGGGGCGGTGGCAGCGGGGCGGGGCTGCACGGCCAGAGCGTCATTCAACCCGCGACGTCGAGCGTTAACTATGATCTCTCCTATATGCTGGAGCTCGGGGGCTTTCAGCAGCGTAAGGTGAAGAAGCCACGGAAGCCGAAGCTCGAGATGGGCGTGAAGCGACGCAGCCGCGAGGGTTCCACCACCTATCTGTGGGAATTTCTGCTGAAGCTGCTGCAGGATCGGGAATATTGTCCCAGGTTCATCAAATGGACGAATCGGGAGAAAGGTGTCTTCAAGCTGGTCGACTCCAAGGCGGTCTCGCGGCTGTGGGGCATGCACAAGAACAAGCCGGACATGAACTACGAGACAATGGGCAGGGCTCTGCGGTATTACTATCAGCGCGGCATACTGGCCAAGGTGGATGGACAGCGCCTGGTCTATCAGTTTGTCGATGTGCCCAAGGATATAGTCGAGATCGATTGCAATGGAGTGTGAGCGCCGCATCGATCGAGCTCCAAGCTGTGCGGAGCTGTGTAAATAGATGATAATGTGATGGGGATAGAATGGAATGCAATGAAATGGGAATGGGGCGGAATGAACTGGAATGGAACACGAATATTGAATTGTGTTTCTGGGTGGGTGGGTTCACAACCGGCTAGCGGCAATAGTAGCAATGTAACTGTAAGTCCCGTGCCCCTTTTTTATGTGGGATGTACAAAGAAGGCGTTACGTTTAAGCAAAACATCAGATATTTAACATAAAAACAGATGATACGACATACACACACATATATAGTACACATGTGTATGCATGTACAGTTGATTGATAATTGTGACGGTTTTTGTGTATATGTTGAGTTTATTTAAGTTTAAGTGCAGATTCTCTGCAAGCAGAATGGCGGCATATGTATCCATACATAGGGGTATGTACGGCGCGATAAAGTGAGAAAGAGTTAAAATTACATAGTTAATAGGCAAGTACACCTACATACATATATACATGCGTACATATAAATATACCCTATACATAAAAAGAAAAGGAAAGGAAGAAACAAAAATTGGCAGTAAATCGAAGATCTATTCATCGGAGTTAGTGTTGTAACGTTTAAATATTATGTAATATTATGATGTATGTATATTGTTATTATTGATTATTATTATTATTACTATTATTATTGATTGATTGCTTGATTGATGATGATTGATGAATTCTTATTGATATTTGATACACACTATATATATACATAGCTACAAAATTCTCTATTACATATATGCATATATTAAAAAAAGAAGAGGAAGCAAAGAAATACCTAGCCACACACACAAATACACACACACACACGCCTAGGCTAATAAGTCTTTTAAGCCCTTTCGCACACATAGCTGCGTACAACTCACACACACACAGTGGAAGCTGCACATGGAACAGTGGCAATAAATGAAACGTGTATGTGTTTGCCTGCCTGTGTGTGTGTTGGTGTGTGCATAGATGTGTGCATATTGTTTTTGTTGCTTATTTTATAATATGAAAAAGAAAGTAATATTTCGTAGTTCGATTATTATTATAGTTATTATGTATTTATTTAAGTGTTCCCTTCTCGCCGGTCCCAAACAATTCTAACTACAGCAATCACCCGCTAACAACTACGTCCCGCTGCCAGTGCAGCGGTCTTAATGTTCTTGTAATTATTATTTTATAAGTTTTCTATGTATATTTACAAACAAAATCAATTAAGAAAAGTCAAAAAGAGGAAGAAAAGCAACTACAATAGTACAGCGTTGCGTTTTGTGAGGCTGTATGGAATAGAACGAAATTTCATTTTACACACAACTTAAACACAATCTGTCAACAGAGAAATAAAATTAATTAATTTTAATTGGTAACGGCTAATTTTTAAATGGACTGAAACAAATTGGAATTTATTTACTTTTAGAATTTAACGCGAATATTAATTAAAACTAAGCTGTACTGAAACACATTGCAAATAGAAAAATATTCAAGTCAAGATGTTACAAACTGGAACAGTGGAGAAACGGAACCGAAACGAAACCGAGCTGAACTGAAACTATTGGAAAAAAATTAAGGGAAAACCTTACTGAAGAAACAAAACAGCAAGTGTACGAAATATGAAGCAAATTCAAAAGAACACAAAAATGAAATGAAACCAGCTCTAAATAGAATAGGAGGGGCAAAACAGAAAACTTTGTAAATTGCAAACAAAACAGAAAACTTAGTAAACTGAAAAGAAACAGAACCAAATAAAGCTGAACGGAAATGGTTAACTTTCGAAATAAGAAAAAGGGGAAATCGGAAACTAATTTAACAGAAACTGTTATGATCCGGAACAAAACAGGAACGAAACCTACTGAATGAACTGCTCTGTATTATGAACTTCCGCCACTCTTCCGGTTTTACTATTAGTCCTTCCCGTTTGATTTCAGCACAGCTTCACAAAACGCAGCGAAACGGAATCCAGAAAGCAGCACACAAAAGTCTATAGTCATTTATACAAATTTAACGAAAGAAAATGTTTCGGTCTGATATCTATAAATAAATTTAAAGTTTAGTTCTTATTTACGACAACAACACACTGCCACAGTAATAATAACAACAGCAACAACAACACAAACACTGCATATTCCTCAACAGTTTTTATGTTGAAAAGTTGAAATGAAGTGGGAAACAATCGCAATCCTCACCTATGTATGATTTCCAAACACTGCCCAATACGTGCAATCTCTTAAGAACCTATGTATGTGTATAGATCTAAAAATCTGTTCTATGCAGACGGATTCAAAGTCCTAGTTGCGTTCTCTAAGTACCTTTTTCTATTTACTTATGTGTATGTTGAGAGGAGTTTACGATTAAATTTAAATCTTAGAATGCCTTTTCGTTCTTCTCTATCTTTAATGATTGATGAATTGTTTATAGTAGAAGGATAAATATACATACTATACAGTATATATACTATATAGAACGGTAGCAAACAAAGTGAGTTTTGAGTTCAACTCTCTGTTCATTGTAAACATTTTTTATGATTATTTTTTATTTTTAAATAAAATTATAATTTCAATTGCATGCGTTTTATTTACAAAAAAAAAACAACAAAAAACAAAAAAAACATCAACTTTTAAGAGAAAAAAGTACCAAAAACAAAAAATGATGAAAACAAATATTTGCAACCCGCTACAAATTTGGAATCTAGATATACCTCCCAAACGATCGTACTTAGGACATACAAGTCTATATATACTTAGTGCGTAATATACACGAGATATGATCCCATATTTTAGATGAATTTAAATCGAATATTTTGTAGACATAACAAACACACACTTCATGCATAAGATGAGGTCTCAGTTTTTGAGGTTTCGACATACCATTAAAGCGACACATTGTCATCGGACAGAGATAGAGAGAGAATTATACTTAGCTATAATTACTGTAAGTTAGTGGCGTTTATAATAGAACAAAACAAATTATGGAGAATGATATCAGATATATGATATACTAAGAAATTTTACATAAAACAATCGTACAATATTGCAAAGCTTAATACTTAAGTACAACGAACGTATCGGTTAGGATCATAGAGAGATAAAGAGAGAAACGGAGAGAGAAAGTCCCCATAAATAATACACTACACACCTAAAAACAGAGACCAGCTTTAAACAATAGTATACAATTGAGTTAATTAAAGTCCCTATGACACTAAACTTGAAACTAAACCTGAATTCTACGATTTAGACAATTTTAAAATTTAGTTTTAAGTGTAGTGTCATCAGAAGTTTATAGATTTTGTATCCTTGCAAATTGATTTATTTTCATAATTCATATCTTCTACCTATTTCAAAACTGTTCCATCACAACGTTCTTTACGATAATTTTTTGCAAATTCGTTTCTAATTTATGAAATCAAAACCGAAACCACTGTTCTGGCTAATTGGCGTATTCTCTTTACTAAATTGGTTTTTCATGTAAAATCAAAAGTGGTAAGGTGGTTCAATTCCAACTATTCCAAAACTAACGTTTCGTTTTGCAACATTCCGATTCCGAAAAAATCGATCGAAGGCGGAAACAGAAACAGAATCTTGTCAGCTTTTATTAGTTTGGCTAGGAAAATCGACGCTTCTTGAAATAAAAAGCTGTTTGCAAACTTGTCCTCATTTTCGCTTAAAATGGCCGAATAAAACGTGAAAGGTATGGAAAATGAACATGTTTACACCTACAAGGCAGAAAGAGCCCTTTTTAAGAAACGCACACAACAATCTTTGCAAGGATATGCAACTACAATAACAATTACAAATAATATCAGCACTTCCTCAGTATGAAAATCATTCCACACAAAATTATGAAAATAGTATTTTAGGGAGACGGATTTCAGAGCATGGCACAGTAACTTCTCTTCATATATGAATATATACCTTATAAAGATTCAAATCAGACACTCACAATTGAAGCTCTAAGTGTATATAAGAAACAACTTCTGGACCTCATGTTTCACTTAGTTATAAACATATTCTAATATATACATGTAAACCTGTACACCAATCTATTGTATGTATGTAATTGTTAAATTGGACAAACAACCATCTAAAACGCTGGATAAGACCAACTAAATTAATGTTTCACCAAAAATATCTCTGCCTCAGCAAGATTGGTAAACAAAGTATCGCAAAGTACTACAAAATTAATATTAAATTAATATTTAGGTTTAAAGCTAATGTCTTAAGTGGAGAACAGTGGCAGAAGACGATTAAGGGATGGGGTTTGTTTCGTATTTCGTTTTGGTTTCAGCAGAAATGTCTCCATTAGCTAGTTGAATTGGATTATCGGCCATCTACCTATCTATATACAAGTTTATAGCACAGAAATAATTTAATCCTTAAGCGATAAGTGGAACGCAAAGATTCGGGAAGTGGGCAGCAGATGGCAACGAGACATGTAGGTGAATTTTCCAGAGGACGGAGCAAGCGGTTTAGTGTTAATTTTTATAAGAAGTCTAACAACTAGCATAATTATTAACTGTTATGAACGAGTAAGAGTTTAAGAATTTTAGCTAAATTTTGTATATTTTAATCTACAAATTATAAAATATATATATATATACTGTCTGTTTTATAACAAAAATAATACCAAGTGTTTCATTAAACATTAATTCTTATTACTTGTGAATGCAAAACTGTAGCCCACACTGACTCTGAAACTGTGCTGCTCCCAAACGCATAATGGCACTCAAACTGTTAGCATAGCCCATGCAACAACCAACAGATGTCAGCTTGCCATAGGGATGGACGTGGGTCGTGTTCGTGAGTGGAGTTTCTGTGCTGAGCTATAACGACTCGTGACAAACAGAGGCACCAGCTCTACAATTTTTCAAAATACGCAATGTTTGTGGGTAATTCGAAACTTGAGTAAGCTTGGAAAGCTTTACCCAAAACAACTATTATATTTATACTAATACCTGTAGACCTTTCTAGCTTGAAAATCCCAAATTAACACGACTTGAGCACTTATTAAATAAGAACTAAATTTAGATGCGTTTTTAAAATTTCGTGAATCATGAGGGGTGAAGGGTGTATAAAAAAAAAAAACAACAACATAAGCTTGTTCTTTCTTGGGCTTAGAAAAACATAAACACTAAGCTTGATGTTTCCAGCTTTATACCTCCATCATCGAATCAAATCGTCCAAAATTTCTTCAATTAAATACCGCACTTCAAATGCAGTTTTGGACTGTATTTTATTTTTATTTTATAGATACATTCTTTCAGGCTAGGAAATGTGATAGTGTTTAGGAAATCCTTATTTTTTTCTTGAATATCTGATGTGTAAGCGATTAATTCTTAAATGTGGTCTGACTAAGCTAACTTAGAAATACATATAGTTTAATGCCAGTCAAGTGGTGACGGGAATAAAATGCTTTATAAATACAAAACTCGAGATGATCTGACGGTCCATTGCGCACTTAAAAATAACCTACGCAATTTATAAAAAAAACGCAATATTTTTAAATGCGAACCCTTTCCTTTCTGCGTTGTTTGCTTCACTAGAGTGTTTCTTTAGAAATTCTCTTCATTCAAAGCCCGCTCTCTGGCTGGTCAACCACCCAAAAATTCGCTCACACCCTCCCCTCTCACAGCGCTTTCTGCGTTGTATGCAAACAAAAGACAGCTGGCAATAGCCACTTGATGGCAGCCAGCAACAAAAACAAAAACGGAAGTAAAAGTGCTCTCACAGGACTCAGCTGTAAGGCCAAATACCAGTAAGGAAGGAAGGAAAAAAACAAACCGTATCGATTTAAAATTCAATATTGCGCAATGTGCACGTACCTTTGAGAGAACGAGAGAGCGAGAGAGAGAGAGAGAGAGAGAGAGGGAAATTGTGAGAGCTGACTTGTATGCGAAACGAGAGCGGGGGAGGGAGAGCAGCAGTTGAAAATAATACCGTTTTTATGCGCCCTTCGCTCGACTTTGCTTCATTCGCTTGTCGTCCGTCAACGTTTGCTTTCATACGTCCGGGAGTTGCGGTTCTTGTTGCTTGAAAATTGATTAAGTCATCCAATACAAGTACAAGTATACATATACTATATACACATTAAAAACTTTCTGCTTCGTGGCCAGCTCTTGGTGGAGGACTAAGCGTTAATTACAACATCATTAGTGTTATACCTAAGTAGTAGTAAGTATCGTAAGATATGCATCAAATTCCGAACTATTTGTATTTTGATTTTGCATGAAAATCAAAAAATATGGGATGGGGCGCTCTGAAACTTCGAAGATTCTTTGTATTATTTTCAAATAAAATATAATTTTGTTTGTCATAGACTACAAGGTTTCCGATTATATATCCATCAAACAAATATATGGAATTATAGAAAACCTTCTTGTTAGCTCTTTAAAAGCCATACAGAGAGGCTCTTCATACAAGTAGATATAAGTACAATGAGAAATTGCAACTCCCAGAATTTCCAGCTTTCTAGCTGGATATATGTATATAAGGGAATAAACAGTTAAATCAATAAGCTCCGAGTTCTCCAAGCATACATTTATTTAAAATACAAAATTAATTTAGTTTTCAAACTTTTTAAGAAAATAATCTTTGATAATTTTTCACAGTTCTTAAAAAAACGGAAAATTTGATTTAACTTTAGAATCTATCTTATACCCATATAGGTCTGCTAAATCGACTATAAGTAATTCCAATTGACTGTCAGAGAAATCTTTTCAATTCAGAAAACTAAATTTCCTTTGCTAAAATCAACAACTTAAATGAAACTGTTTTCTATATATACATATGTATTCTTACATATACATCAAATTCAAATAGGGAAGTAAATACAAGTATATACATATATCAATAGATATGCATATATACTTAAGATATATACATATCAGCAGTGAAAAATCATTATTGTGTGCGTAGAGGAGCGTTTCCTTGACACTGCGCAGGTCAAACAGTCGAGCAGACAATTTGTTTGTAAACAAATTACACATGTCCTCCATAGGCGACGTACCTCTAGCTATTTACCAAATAAAAGATGGGAAATTCCTTCTGAACCTGTAATCTACGTCCCTTGCACTGAACGGACCTTGAAGTAGCCGAGAGCTAGGTACACATCCGCCTGAATAAACAGGATTCAGGGCGCATGCGTTAGTTTTCCTAATTGCCGAGAGAGTCAGGGATATACTATAGAGCGGTAGAGCAGGAAAAGGGAAAATCAGAATTGCTGACTTTTGTTAGTAAACAGAGTTCAAGAACTTGTTTGCAACTGCCTACCTGTCTACCAGGCTTAGAAATGTTCAGCTGAGCACCCAGCTGGCGATTATTATTGTTTCGAAATGGAGTCAATTTTTAATTCTGTTATTTTGAAAAGTAGGACTGGTTTCTTGATAATTATAAGTAATACGAATTGTGGTGATAGGATATAGCTATGTAGAGCAGCTGCAGAATAGATACACATAACGATGCTCTAAATAATAAGCAGAGTCCATCCAAGGAACACACGCTGATAAAAAAAAACCACGTAAATTTAAATATTTACACGTAGATTTCCATATTTTTACTAAATTTAATTTAATAATAATAAAATATTTTTCCCTTTTTTTTTACTTCTGTGCAATAACATTTCCATAATACATTTTTATATACATATGTATATATTTTGAATAGAACCACTTTTAGCGGAAAGTGATTTGCAAATTCTTTTGATTATTAATTCTTATTATTCTTATCAATTATTAATTATCTTGATGTTTTTAATGTCTTTGATATAGTTTAGATAAATTTTAATATTAAAAGTGAAGACAAAGCTGATTGAACACACTTGACACATAACTAACGACCACATCTGTATGTCAAAGGGTTACACTTTGTATTTATACCACACAAATGCTGAAACTCGACTTGAGAATTCTTGTCAATTAAAGTTTAATACATTTCTAGTAATTTAAATCGTGAAATTAAAGTTGAGAAAAATATTAAAATGTATCTAACCATTTGTTCTTTGAAGTGGGCGCATATTAAAATTAAATATGGTCACACTTTAACGACAAAGAGTTACACTTTGTTTTGAATATTATTCATATTTAAATCAGCAATTGAATATATTTTCATTTAAATTTGAGTTATTTATTTTTGATTTGAATTTTAAATAGCAGAACATTACATTTAATACTATACAACTTTATATCAGTGTGCTTATTTTTTGATATCTAACAACCCCTGTAATAGCTATTTTCTTCTTATTACAGCTTAGACTCAATAATTACAGAAACAGAAAGGTTTGACGATAAAAAAGACTGAGCGACGTTGATAAGGCGAAAGCGAATCCACATTAAAATTCCATAAGCAATATCTCTCAAAACACAACCGAAGCACAAACTCTAATATTCATCGAAAATCAATAAGTGATATACTTGTAAAGACATCGGCGCATTCTCGAGTCTGAAGAAATTATAATATCCGATAGGAGCGCAGAATATTGTATAATGCTTAGTAGCCTCGCAACATTTCTTTTTGGAACGCAACAAGCTACGTCGGAATCACAGCATACTGAAGAGAATCCCGAAAACTTGAGTAACGTCACCAACAAGAGCAACGATCTAAGCGGGGAAGATGTAATTGAAGTGACCTCGTCGACGCCATCGGTACCGAGCAACAGGGGAACATTGCAGTTATCTGGAAGGACTAATCGGCGCGACAAGCAGCGACCGAAGGACGGCAAATCGAAGAAACCGCTGACTATAAAGAAGCTCTTGGCACCAAGCGAGAATTCTCTGGACGAGGACATTGATGAAGAATGGTATATTGTTGAGAAAGAGGGTGAGTGGAGTACTGAGCTATCAGGTGGAAACATCTCTTTCATATTATATGTGTGTCCTGCAGATGAGGAAACAGATTCATTGCCACGCAGCGATTCCGAGGAGGAGATCTCAGTGGGTGAGATTCAGGCCAAGACTTCGCCACCTTCGGCCGTGGCGCCTGCGGTGCTGGCCGCCGCCGCCGCTTCTCGGCGATTGCAGCAGAGGAACTCGCGTTGCCTCTACACTGGTCCTCGGCCGCAGCAGCAGCGGAACTTTCTGCAACGTTCGCGGGCTCAGCAGGGCATCAAGATATTGAGTCCACCCAAGAATGTGGACAATGGAGTCTCGCAGTCTCTGTTCGCCCCATCTCCGGCATCCTCACCCTGCGGCAGTGATGCCAGCCTGTCGATGGAGGACTCCTGGTACGTAACACCGCCACCATGCTTCACCTCCTCAATTGGGTCAATCAATATGGAAGCATCCCCATATGAGAATTTATTGATTGAGCATCCAAGGTTGGTGACTTCTATTGTACATACTCTTCATTGTCGACTTGCTGGTTCGAACCGGAGACTAACTCCGTACCGTTCAAATAATCTTTGCAGCATGTCCGTTTATCGTAGCATTAGATGCAATAAGGAATGCTCCGACAAGCCGACAAGTCGTGATCTCAGGGAGTTGCAGGCAACTCAGCAGCGGGAGCCGACGCCCCCGCCCACTGCCCCGATTGTGGAGCAGAAGCGCGGCCATAGCGCCCACTACGATCGCCATGCGGAGGCCCAGCTCAAGCAGCAGACGCTGGTTCGTCACGGCCAGAAGGTAAGCGTTATGGAAAGTCCAAAATGCAGAAGGCATTGAAATGAGTATGCAATAATTGCTATCGAAAAACGATTCGTCAATAGTACTTAGTTTTGGTAAATTTATATCGAGCAAGTATAGACATTTTATTAAATCTTGCAAAGCTATAGAAATATCACATTACAATCTGGTATCCAAATGTTGTTTCCTGATATCGAAATGATTATCGAAAACAGCATTCTATCGAAAATTACATAGGTATCGAAATAGTAGGTAATTGATCAGAATCAGATGACATACCGGAGTGGCCTACAATGAACCAAAATTAGACAAATCCCATTATGATGCGCAAAATTATTGAAATGTTATCGAAAATAGACAAGCTACTTTACTAAGTCTCAACAACGAGGGCAATATGTTATCTAAGCCGGGAAGATAATGTGTTGCTTTTTAATACTATCAGAAATTAGGCGCAGGAATTTCGCTCAGCAATTGGTGACTTCCCATAACACCCGTAATTCTTAGAATTTGTGACTTAAATTTGGCAAAAACTTCCGCTTTGGCTAAAATTTGTACTGCCTTCATGGACAGGCATAGACTCACATGGACGCAATTCCTATAAAAATGTGAATTTATACGTGAGTTCGAAATGCCAAGGGAGGCAAAATATATAATAATTTTTTTCTTATTTTGTTTAATTTCGGTAAGTACTCTACACATACAGAGTATTTTAAAGTCGGGAGATCCGATTTTAGCTTCTCCACTTCTATTATATTTTATATATGCTCGAAAAAAGCCTCTTATACTGAATTTCACGATAATTTTGTGTTTGTACCAGATATGTATATCTTTTCTTTTGCATAGAATAACATCGCAATATGAATATGAAATATAAATCAACTTTCAACAAACGCCAAAAAGTTAGCGACAAAATCGTTTTATCCACGATTGGTTTGCAAAATGAAAGCATCGTTGCAACCTCGTCATACTTACTCTAAGAATCCATTTGTCAACACTTATCTGTCTTATCTTATTCTGTCAACACTTATTGTAAACCCATGTTGATCAATACGTTTTGCAAAAGTCAAGGTAGTCGATAATATTATTCCAGTTCAGCATGCAGTCATGGGACTCTGCCGGGTGCGGACATCCGAAAACTGTTTACCCAATTTCTCGGGAATCTAATCTTAAGCTCTTTTTTATTATGAATTTATGTTGCTTTATTTATTCCTGGTGTTGGGCCTTGTGTTGTGCCGGTTAAAGTCGTCCACAAACTGTTTTGATTTATTTTTAATTTAATTGTATTATTTTAAATGTTTTACTACAATCTCGGGAATCCGATCTAAGCTTTTTTTATTATGAATTTATTTTGCTTTATTTAAATATCCAATTATTTTCCGATGGACTTGACAGACTCAATATAAAAGAGTCTGTTTTTTTTTTGTGAATTGGTGACGCATGAGACTGGCGCGGCAGAGTCGGAGACTTCGGAGTCTTCCTGCCGGGTGAGGACGTCCGCCAATTGTTTTGTTTTTTTTTATTTCATTTCTTACTTTAATTTTTTACTAAAATTTCTCGGGAATCTGATCTTAAATTATTTGTATACCCTGTACCCAAAGGGTAGGTGGCAGACCCCTCAAAGTATATGTATTCTTGATCAGGGTGACAAGAATTTAGAATTCAAATTTGGTAGTCACATCTAGTTAGGGATTGTGTGGCCGTTTCATCATGATAGGTCAATTATGAAGGCAGTTATAGCCATAAATATATTCTCTTGACACCCGACTTTAGCTTCTCTACTTGTTTATTATGAATTTCTTTTGTTTTATTTAAATATCTCATTATTTTCCGATGGGCTTTTTATTCTGCCTGTGTTTCTTTGTGAATTGATTTTCTGGATCTTTCTCCCAGCGTTTGACCCATTCATGGAACATTTTCAGTCAATTATCGCAAAGCCGACGTTTTATATTCAGGTTCCGCTCGCTCATATTGAGTATGTTTTTTTTTTTTTAATATACTTTGATGTTCACCGAAATATTTCAAAGGAAAACAGTAATTTATTTTCTTTTCAATAGTTTGTAGAATTGCTATTGGCGTCCTTAAAATGTCGATACACACACTTTCAAATTTTGCACAAATCAACTATGTATATCTCGGAGACCATAAGAACAAGGGATACCAAATTTATTCCAAACCTGCCATATATAGATACGCAAAAAATGTGCATCTAAAAATGTCCGTCCCTTCCTCCTCTCCCACACAATTACTAATTTTCGATAACTCCAGTGATTCAAGTTTAATTATGATAGCCCGATTTTCAAGGAAGTTATAGCCATATATGTAAATCATGTATAGACTTACATAGACAAAATTCCTATGTAAATGCGCAGCTGTACCCCCTTTACCAAACATTTTTTAATTTTTCATAATGATTTTAATTTTGTAATTATTTTACACATATGTAGAGAGAATTTCTAAGTCGTGACATCTGACTTTAGCTTTTCCACTTGTTGATATCGAGAAATACTTAGGTATCGAGCAATTGAGCCAAACGAAAAAACAACAAAACTATTTTTAAAATCACGCAGTGGTCGAATTGTTATCCAAATAGGATAAGTAGAGTCGAACATCAATCAAATATGCAAATGTTTTTGAAATAGGTACTAGAAGTTAGATCCATAATGGCGCTCTAGAGTATTCAAAACTACATACAAGTATGTATCGAAATGGCATTGAAAACATACAACGTATCGCAAGAGATTCAATATCAACATATCAGAAAATTGCATTTTAAAGCTTTCAGAGATGTATCAAAAGAAGCTATCTTAACTAATCTACACACCCATTTCTCTTTATCCACAGAGCAACAATAAGAAGCAGCATCAGCAGTTGTGCCGCAGCGCTATGAATCGCTCCAACAAGGTGCGGGACCTAAAGGCTAATAGGCAGCGCCGATCTGATATGCAGCATTTCAAGGTCTTAAGTGGCGCCAACAATAACCGAAAGTGCGCCTTCTAAAGGGGCCCATATTGGCAAACAAACATTTTTTAATCATAAAGAAGATTGGTGAATTGGCCAGTTATAGCAGTAGTAGTATTTGCATGTACCTACTATATATACTATATATATATATACTATATGTATTTAATTTTAAATTTAAAATGAGATTCGAGAAAAGTTCACAATTACCTTAAATATTAAAAATTTAATCACACCTATACACAATTACGACTTGCTTGCGTATGTGAAATCATAGCTGATAATCAAAGTAAGTGCGTAGATTTTAACTGTCACAATTTAAAAGGAAAAGTAATATCAGAATTAAAACAAAACATGAAACAATAAATACAAATATGCGAAAATGAAATTAAAAACAAATTGATTCTTGGGGCTTATAAAATAATGAAGTAATGTAAAAGGTCTTACGGAGTTCGGAAAAATATGAAACCCGTACACCAGTTTTCCTCTGACATTCCCTCTCGGACCAAAAAAAAGTACTCCCACATTGGAAAATTCTACCTCAAAAGAAGGGAAGACGGGCTCTAGCATTTGTGACAAAAATCTGAATTTTTCAACCGATCGACTACAAACTTGGGCTCTACACTCCAAGATAGATAAACTTCATTCGTTTTTCGATTAGACATTTTTTCGATACTAACTGAATGAATAAAAATAACTTTAAACAAATAAGGATAAATAAGGCAAGTGTAAGAAGGCTTAGACGTCTCTCTGGCATTTTCATTGATTTTTTTCAGATTAAGGTCCCTCAATTGTTTTCAAATTTTTTCATTTATGATTCCTCACAAGACCTGTCATAGTAGTTTCTCGCTTTCGATTACAAATTGGGATCAAGTGTAAATAATCGAAACTCTTTGCTTAGGAATGCGCACAACTGTGACAGCTTTTTACTCACTCTAATTCCAGATTCCGAAACGGTATCGAAATCTGAAAAATTGTCGCATTATATCAGGCATACTAAGAATATAATAGAAAGTCAGCCGAAAATTAGTTCAGTTGTGTTCAGCTATCATTTAAGCATACTATATATTCGATATATTTACTATTTTAGACTCGATCTAATTCTAAATATAAAGGTATTACATACTTATACTTTAAGGCTTATCCAAGTTGCTTATTCAAGAACTACATAAAATTGGCGAAAATGATTAGTTTACCTGTTTTTCGATTTGACGTCGACAACTATCGCCAGTTCTATTGAAATCTTTTGAGTCACCTTTTTGCTTATTGTATGAAGGTATCGGTACTCGTGTTAAAGGTATCGGCTCTTCCTTTCTGGGCAACTACTCAAGTGCTTCTGCTTCGTTTTGGGAATGGGAGTGGCTTACAAGTTAACAAAATGTACAATCGCTATAATACACTTAATAATGCCTAGGGTATTATGCTGAGCCCCCGTCTAGGGGCAATGGGCATTGGGACCGTTTCGACAGTTCAGCAGCAGGTTTAGCATGCCTTCCAGTTTATTTGTGCGCGATTCTGTCTTGTATAGATTCGTTTGCAGGCGATTGACATCGAACTGTTGTTTTTCCTAGAAACAATCAAAATAGTAGACAAGTAGTTGAGTACTTTTGGGCTGACCGCTTACCAGTGTGGTGAGACGACTCTTGAGAGTATCAACTACACTGTAGGTGGCCTGCAGCGACTTCTTCAGCTCGTTAGTATGTATGCGCTCATTGGCCAGCGACCGTTCGATCTTCTGCAGACGCGTCACCATTTCAGCGTCCATCTCGTCTATGTCGTTCTCCAAATCGCGTGCCTCGAAGGCGTCGTCTTCGTGCACCGCCTCCTTCTTGCAGCTCTGCTGATCCGGCTGCGAACGAACAAGTTTTCAGCGATGAGTTGGGACTGTTAGTTAGATTAAGGAACAAGGAAGGAAAAGTTCAATCAACCCACCTGCAGCACAAAGCCCGGCCGACAGAGACAGTAGTAGGAGCCCTGGGTGTTGACGCACTTCTGATCGCAGGGCTTGTCCAGCCGGCACTCATCGATGTCCTGCTCGCAGCTGTTGCCCGTAAAGCCCGCCGGACAGCTACAAGTTTCGGGTGCGGTGCAGTTTCCTCCATTCTTACACGGGGACGTGCAAATGGCTGTGAAGGAAGACAATCTTAGAGGCTTTGGGGTCTAGCTTTCAAATAGCCGCCACTCACGCTTCAGGCACGCATCGGCTCGCGGCGTCTCCCTGCCCCAACCGGTGCAACAATCGTACTGCTGCACCGACTCGTGCTTCATCTTGATGACGTCTCGGTACGCCGGTTCGTGCACCACCTGGACACGCGTGCACAACTGTCCCGGATGGGTGGGCGGCTGGCAGGGTGTGCTGATGTGCTTAAAGGTGGGTCGCGTATACACCTCCGTCTTCTTCACCGGCGTGCTGATCGTGCGCTGCTGCACGCAGATGTGACGGCTGAAAGCAGAGGGAGTCTGGTTAATGAAGTGGCCCACTTAGAGGTGTCGCTGTCGGGACAGCTGATCAATGGATCACGAAAAGTGAAACTGACTTTTCCAGTTGCTAATCACCCGGTCAGCCCACACTTGCCCATCGGCAACCAAGTGCGATGTGCTGCCGTCTCCAGCCAGCGGCTGTCGGCATATTTTGCAATTGTCACAGACATCTATGCAACTAAATGAAATAAAACTCGCCTGACTTGAATTCACGACGCCGTCACGATTGTCACGACATATGTAAGTATGTCAGCAATATTTGTGTGCGGAATGAAGCTATAAAGCTTGAAAATAAGCATTGCTGATAAGACTTTCTTCAACTCGTATCTCTCTGATTCAAATGCCCAACTTCTTTCTCATTGAAAGGTTTTTAAATACCGTCTACACGAAGGGTAAGAAATGGATCCGTTTGTTTGTTTGTTGTTTGTTTGACTTGAACTCTAAATTAAAAGTTGGGTTCGAGGCATGTGAGAAAAACGCATCGCAGGGAGCCTTTAACTTTACTTCCACAAGTATTTCATAATTGAAGATCTATACTCTTTACACTCTTTACATTTTATGTATATAGCCAGTTGCTCAACAAAACTTATCTTAAGGAGGTCCACAATTAAGTAATGCCATCAATTTGTAAGCTCACGTATTTCGTTATCAATTCTAATATTTTGTTCAGAAAGTAGTTGTTTCCAAGAGACCTTGACTTGGTTTTCTCGCTCACGTCTCAGTTCCGCTCTACTTGCTCTCTTCTGAGTCTATAACTTATCTAAATAAGAAAACTAATGCATTGTGACCGACGCTGTTGGGTCAATATTTTTGATGTCGCACAAAAAATGTTTATGGAATGTTTAAAGGGGCTCTGCTCGCCTCTTCTTTATTGAATTGAGGATAAAACAATCGTATATATTCAGTCACTACTTGTAATTAAAAGATCATCAATCATAATGGAGCAGGCATGAAGGCTTGAAATGAAATGGCCAGCTCCAAAAATTAATCAAAATTGAAGAGCACAACCTTTGGAGGGAAATGGTCAGTGATGGTGCAGTTCAGAGATTTCTTCTGCAGTTCCACATAAAAACATAAATCAGCAGGAAGGCAGGCAGAGGCTGAGGCAGAGGCAGACAATCAGGCAGTCAGGCAGTCAGGCGGGTAACTGTATATGCAGTTTATTTATTGATTTATTCATTTGGCTTTTAATGAAAACCCACTATGTCAGGGCCAATGCCTATAAATAACTCATGTTAATTGAAAGCTTTAGTTAATCTTAATTTATTATGCACAGAAACGAAACAGAAACATGTCAGCAGCAACGATCCATGTATGATTGCCAGTACATTGTACATTTGTACGAGCATGTGCGAGTATCATGGAGAATTCCTGAATATGTTTCCTGGTTTCGTTTAACGGCATTTCACTTAACGGGGACTGGTACTGAACCTGAACAAAGGCAAGTTCAGCCATCAGCCGAAGGACGGACAAGCAGCGTTTAGTTGCACTTTTCCTAAAAAAAGAAGAGACTCTTCTCTGAAAGCAACGACGAGTATTCCTTCACTTTCGCGCCTTAAGGCCTACAAAGATTACACAATACGAGTACGAGCAAGCAGCGACGCGACGCGACGCGACGCGACCCGACTTGCGCGATTCTTGGACAGAGATGGTGGGAAAGTTTACGAAATTGCGGTTGAACGCGTTGTCAGTGTCAGTCAACATGCCGCGACTGACGGCCGTAAGTCAGATGAAATGAGCCAACCTATTAAGGCGAACCTAACTGTAAAGCAGTACACAACCAGGCGATGCGCTCCGCGAACTGAACTGGTCGGCCACAGCAAGTGACTGCTGGATGCACTAGAAACCATTCTGGGACGAAGCTGATGGAAGGTTCGAAGCAGACTTGGCAATTTCCCAAGGGGCGACTCTGTAACTGGCTTTTGAAGTAAAGTCGCCCGATATTTTTCGATAGTTTAGTTGGACAAGAACCCAGTTTCTCTCTCAATGATCTTTAAAGTAGATAAGAAGATAGAAGAATTTGTAGGCACAAAAGTATTATTTTTCAATTATCAATCGGAATAGATACGTGTAAGATGACTCGATGCTTATAAGCATCTTTGTTAACGAAGAATATAGAGACATACGAGAACTGAACTGAAAAGTATCTAAATATTTGAAAGCATCGAAAGGTATCAAAAAGTATAAAAGTCTTTTAGGTAAAGTTGTGCGTTTGGTTTCTTTCACAGACGTGGAGGAGGATTATTTGAGTCCTTTAGTACTACAGTAGGGAACTTCAAGTATCAAAAAGTATAAATGTATGCTATTAGGTACACAGCATGTTTTTCAAACCCATCAGCACTAATTGGCAGACTTGCTTCAGAGTTCGTATTCAAATTATTGGCGGTCACACAAGTATCGATACAATTAATATATTGCCCTAATGCCAACATAATCGGGTTCGAAAGCAGGAGATTGCAAGCAGACAGCATGAAGAAAACAAGAGATTCGCACATCTCCTTATATAATATAGAATACTTTAAAAGAATTCGCTTGTTAGCATAACTTCAAGTATCGAAAAGTATCGCTGGCAGCCATACGTTTTGAACTCAGAAGTGTGATGAGTTCTTATTCTGCCACAATGACAAAGTGTCTAGCGGATATGGAAGTACAGAACAGCATCGCTGCATTTCATTTCTGTTATTCTCCAGAGGATTTTCCCAGCATACCTATACTACCTACCTGTACGAATTGGTAGTTGTGGGCACACAATGGTTAAGTCGTAAGCACAGTAATTTATGAATAGAGAGCATTATGAATGAACACAACACTCTATTGTGAAGCGATTGGGGGGTAAGCCTTTAAACGCGTGACAAATGCATTTCTCATAGCGCCTAATCGCGCAATATACGATCTCTCAGGCTTGTCAATGCGTTGCGCCCAATTGTAATGCAACACACACGCATTGTCGCCGCTATTGTTAATCATGTTGAATGCCCCAAACTTGTTAAACGAGTCGAGCTCAAGTTGAAGCTAGAGCTGGAGCTCCAGTCGTGGCTGAAAATCCGATTACTGAGCCGCAGAGAGAAATGCCAAGAGCCCCGGGCAGCTGAAAAGGCAAACCACTAGGCACGATTTCCATTCGTTCGTTCATTTGTTTTCATTCAAAGCGATAAACGCACAAAAAGCATTTTCATTAAATTAACATTTTTCGGTTGTTTGATTGTTGTTGCCCGATGTGATAAATATTGCGCCTAGCGGTGAGGCGATAAACAAATTTGGAAAGCGCATCATTTAAGCGAGCGCTCGCGTCCGAGAGGAAGTAAGTTGGTAAGTTTTTAACAATGATTAAGTTATTGTTTGGATCGCAGTGCCTCTGTTTATCGGTTGAACGCCACTCGCACACTCAGAGTTGCGCTCGTATCGAGTTGCAAGCGGTTCGGTAAAATGTACGAGCTTGGAGGTATGATGATGGCGATGGAGATGGAGACGGAGACGGAGATGGAGGAGGCCCAGCCCATGTGCCAATGCGACCCGCTGGGTTCGACTGTGTGTTAAGTCTTGTGCGTCATTTGGGGTTCGGGTTCGTGTGTGGCACACTAACCGAAACGTTGCCTCGTCAGTCTTTGCAACACTCCAGACAATTACCAATGCACCGAACATCGAACACTGCTTAACGGGGCTTACTTGCAGTTTTTCAGTTCATTTTGTTCCCCCTTTTTTGGCTGCCCCGGTTGTTCGGCTGCCAGCACTGCATTAATCCAATATACTTGTTAACTACATATACACTCATGTGTACACTCAAGAAAATAAAAAGTACGAAACAAAGTACGAAACTGTTTCAATCCTAACTAATCCAAATATTTACCATAATGACAGAGCGCTTTCAGTATCATTTTTGTTTGAGCAAAAAAAAAAAAACCTTGTTCTATTTAACTCCAACACTTTCTCTGGTTTTTGCTTCTAGATCCTTTGGGAATTCACAGAATGCGTTCAGTAAAGCATTTCTAGCTATAATCGATCGCTTCTCCTTTTTCTTTAATATAAGCCAAAGAGTATTTTTCAGCTCACTCATATCAAAATTTATTTATGTCTGGTGTGCCTCATTGCTCTTTATTTCTCACCAATCGCTGTTCCTGAGTTTTCATTAGGCCAGGATTCAATTATGGGTCGAAAGTCTTCTAATGGTTTTTGATTCAAAATTTAACTTCAATCTTCGCATCTCTGCCATGATCAGTTCCTTGTAAAGCGACAAGATACATTTTGCCTCCGTTGTTTCAAACTAGACTCAATAGAACTCAAGTTTGAAATGTTTAAAGGGTCTCAGGTTTTCGTTACTTTTTTTCCGAGTGTATGTATGTATCGGTGCCCAGGTTGTGGGATGGGAGCGATGCGTGATTTACAAATTATACGGCAGCCCTACACATTCATGCGAGCGAGTTGAGCTGTCCGTCCACAGTAAATGATTAGGTATGTGTACAAGTGGCTGCAATATACCAATCTCTTTTTCCGCTGTGCCTCTGTCGAGGTCGAAAAGTATGGGGTCAGCAGCTTCAAAAAATATTCAATTTTTGAAGTGCCTCTTTGCAAAGCTCTCGAGGCAATCAAATTTCGAAAAAGGTTATTGCCAGACAGCTGTTATCAGGTATCAATATTTTATCTTGACTCCTCGCCGATGCAAAGAGTGCTAAGACGTCCAAGCTGACGTGCGTGACTTTGAAAGACTGTGGACTACACTGAGCAATATGCGCCGAGGTTGTATTTTATTCGTTTCATATTACTTTGTTTACTTGAGCTGGCAGGCCCATAATTAGCACGCAACTTTTTCAAAAATTACAAGCAGAATTTCTTTTTGAAAAAGTTATTAAGAGTTATTGTTGAAATTGAAGTATGGAATATGTAATGCAATTTCTTCAAAAAGGTACACATCTATCAGTAATTTAGGACCTTTGTCAGACGCAATTTTTTGCACATTTAAGAAGTTGTGTGCAAATAATGAACCAATCTGTTAGGACTTTAAATGGGGAGCACACTGTCATACAAGGGCGTGGGTATAGAATTTGCTAATTTTGCTAACATTAAAGATGTACGTATGTTAATCAGCATTTCTTTTTCAAAAATTTAAATGTGTACCTTTCACTTTTTAATAATTGTAATTCAAACCAAAACTCTTGTATACCCCGTTCCTTTCCCTCTATTTGCGACTAATTGATAATATAGCGTTCCAATTTTGATTGAACTTCATGGAACTTTAACATCATAAAACAGTATGCAAATCTCATAAATTCCAATAAGTACGAAGAGATGCGTTTTCAGGTCCCTAGTTCATAAGAAGCGTTTGGCATTAAGACTTTTGCCCGGAGAAAATATTCGTAATAAATAATATTATTTGAAATTTGAATTTGAATGACTAACAATATGTATTTAGTTAAAGCTCAACAATGCATGAGAATGTTCTGCTTACACTAATAAGCAGGGTTAGCAGAAAAGTGGGGACTTCATTCTATTTCGAAAACGCCTCGTGTAAACTGTACCTTAGACATGTTCATAAATGGAATTGCAACGCTACAATTGTGCGGACCGTGGCGAGCGAAAGAAGTTAAGTTAACGCATCAATCAAGACCAGCAATTGAGAACTCGTTACGATTCATTACCTTAAGGCGACAATTTGCTGCGTATGGGTAAGGGTAAGGGGCGGCAACAATCGTCGTAGAACGCGGCTATCGTGCATTGCCCCTTGGTTGTGTGAGCGACTAATAACCTTTGCAATTGTATTAATAGGTTACATGGGTCAACTGACAAAAGAATAAGTTCCAATTAACCTTCACTTGTGTTGACAAAACATTCATTTGGCTAAGCAATTAATAGCACTGAGAACTTGGCTTATGGACTTGTAGTTAGAGCCATCAAATAATTCAGAAATGCGAAATTTATAAACAAAAGCTTTGTCTTAGGAACTTATTGCTACTTATTAAAATTTTGATTGAAGTCATGCCATTGATGGAATTGATTGTGATATTATTCTGTATCTAACGCATAATACATAATAATATTTTCTCACTAGTTTGATGTTCTATGCAGCTACTTATTAGTCGTGAGCACAGTCTTCCAAGGTTTCTATCAGACTTAATATAATGCGTTCCAACGCCAGCATTTCTCGTGACTAAGTTAAATGAAATAACGAAGATTCTGTTTCATGCAACATCCGCTTACAACAACACCTTAGCAGTGCCATCGAGAAAAGTAAAGAGTTAGCGCCGCAGAGCATACAAAAATGTATGCATAAGATAAGCCTTGTTTGGATGATCAGCCAAAACGGAACAACAACAACAACAACAACAAGAACAACAACAGCAGCAGCAGTACACACCAGAAACAACAAATGGCAGAGGTCGGTGTTATTTATGGCTTGCAGCCACCTTGAGCTGCCACTGACTGATAATTTGGGACGATGGGTCGTGAAAAATAACGCATACGCCCATTTGGCGGACTTACTCACCGCTCCATGTCCTTGGCATCTGTGGGGTAATTATGATTGATATTGTTGCTGTCGCTCGAACCGAAACCGAAAGTGTCCGGGCTGGTGGGTTTGGGTGCCGAGGTGGCATAGCCGCGCCGCACCGGCACCAGTGGCGGTATGGGGCCGGGCATGGCGCCAGCCGAACTGGGTGGAGGCGAAGGCACATACCTGAACCCACGCCCGGTGCCGCTGACGCCCATAATTTCGACGTCCTGCGGAGGCATTGCTGGCATTGTCCTGCCAAAGTTCGATTTGGTATAAACATTGTAGCTATTATAGTCCCGAGCATCCTGCAGTCGGCGCCTCAGCAGCTTGTGCTGATTGTGGTGGCTGTGGGTGTGGCTCTGGGGATGGAGATGGGGCTGTATGCGTCGCAGCCGCGTCACGTCATAGCTGCTGTTGCCACGCTGCCGGGGCAATGGCATCTGAACGCCGGGCAGCAGTTCGACATCGTCTTTGGCATTTGGCTGCTGGGGCGTATGCGGCATATGGTGTTGTGGCGAGTGTTTGTGGATGTGGCTGTGGCTGTGGCTGTGGAGGTTGTGCGGCGGCAGCTTGTGGGCTGCGAAGCTGCCACCTGCTGCGTTCGGTGGCAGCAACAACGGCAGCAGCAGCATAGAGCAGAGCAATGCATAGCAGTTTACATTCCTGGCGGTCGTCATCTCGGCTGATACGTCTGACGGCTTTGGCAATTAGGCTGGAAAGTGAGAAAACGCATGTTTACAAATCTGTACAAACTCTGTTCAAATATTGGGCAACTAAACGGGGCGCCTCCCGCCAACTTGCCACATAAAAAACAATAGAGAGGAAAATTACAAACACAAATGTTGCAATTGCAAGCAAGACGCACTAAAATTCTTACTGCGTCTATAAATTGAAGTTAATGGCCAACATCTGTTGCATTGCATCATCATCAACAACATCTCAAATCTTGTTGTATTCGGCACTAATTTCTTTGTTTTCATGCAAAGCTAAATCAATGTTAAGGACTTGATGGATGGGACAGCAACTGAAAGGTAAACGGCAGAACAATCTATGCCCATAACTCTCATATCTCTGCGTGTTCTCAGAAAAGGATTGCAGGTAAGACGGCTTCCATGAAATTCAGTCAACGCGACCTTCTCACAAACCGAATAACGCACATATAGTATATATAGTATATATATATATGAGTGTTGTATATCTATATATATATATGTGAACCGACTCTAACTGGCCAGCGGCTTAAGCCACATTTTCAATAATTTTTCAGGCTGATGTTTCTTTAATTAAGCAAATTTGACATGACTGGGGATTAGCTCGACTTAGGGAGGTGTGGACATATTAATGGATTGTGATATTGATTTTCTCGACAACAGCGACACAAATCTTTGAAATCATTGGGGAACTATCTACTGTAGAAGAGCAGCACCCACATACCCTATACATATACACCTCGAGTATATACATTTGTATATGTACATATGTATGCATGATTGTCAATTTATTTTTGTCAGGCAGACGCATCTGTCTTTGTCAGTCTGCGTGCGTTGTTTACTTAAACTATGAGTTACTATGTCCAATGATTCATAAGAATGGCCACAATTAAGCTCTATATCTTCGACTATATACATATATATATATACGCGAAACGAACTATATATGCCAGCACATTATTTATGTAGAAATTTCAACTAATTTGTGGCTTTAGGTAATTGTTGAGTCTGAGCATTTAAGCATTTTCCAAACTATTTTTTAAAACCCGTATACTATTTACAAAGCTTCTTATTATGAATTAAATTTCTAAATGACTTCCATTTATAGATTGATTGGAAATTAGAGGCTTCTCAATAACTAACTATGTACAGTAGGTTAAAAAAATTATAAATTCTCAAAGGCTTCCGTTGAGAAAAGTTGTTAAACGGATTTCAATTTTATTCATTTTGCTTAAAATAATAATTACTTATTATTTAGAGAATAATTATAACTATAAGCTTTATCCGATTCTATTTTGTTGTACATGTTATTTGAATATTTGTTGTTAGGATTTTTGTTTCTATCTGACAAAATTAGAGAAAGTAAAAGTTTGCTACAGAAAATAATTATGATGAAGAAATTGTGTTTGAATATACTGCATCTTAGCAACAACCTACATCTATTACGAAATATTTTAACTAACATTAATGAACAAAAGAAATAAGCAATAAAACGGCATTTGAAGCATTAACACAATCAAGTTTTTTTTTTCTAAAAAAGTAGTCTACAAGTATACGCTCTATCTGATTTGTTTATGATGTAAAGAAATCATTCAAGAAAAACATTATTATTAAAAAATGAACTCTTGTAAAACCTGCTCAACAAAACCTTCCTCACTTTAAAATGCCATTCTTATTCTTATCTCAATAGGTTTCAACAGAAAAAGCTCTATGAATATAGGCATAAGAGTTCTATAAAATGCCGCCTCATGATGCTCTGAAGTGTCAATAAAATTAGCTGCCGTAGGGAAGATCTGAGCAAGCATCACAAAAACTCTTCTTACCAACAACTTTTCTATATTGTGAAGTGTTATCGTTTCACTTTATCATGTGGCTGTCATAGGAACAATGGGTGCATAAATCAATCGTTTTAAATCATATTAAATAATGGCTCGCAGCGGGAATAGAGCGGGTGTAGGCAATTCAAGAGTCGGCCTGGCCGACGTTAACGATTCCAACTACTCATTAGTTTTGTCTATTGTGTGTCAGCGAATTACAAGAGGTCTTATGTCAAAGCTATGCAAATGCAAGCGCCCCAATAATCATACTCGTACCCCCAAGATATCATGAAGGGGACCACGGAAACTTGTACACCAAGAGTAGGTTTCTTTTAATTGAGTCATTAAACATGAACAAGAAATGTTGTGAAGTAATGAATGCATGAATTACTTAATGTGCTGCTTAATTCACAAGTATGTACATATGTACATGTGTATGAGGGGGCACTGTACCCAAAAAAAAAAAAAAAACTGCTAGAGAGTATATTTGACAAATGCGATCATTCACCATCGCCCGCCAAAAATAATTGATGTTTGTTTTTTCAAGTTGACACGCGGCGTATCGCCAGCAATTATTTATTTCCTTTTATCAGCTTGCATAAGCGGCTAAATATGTACTTTGCAATAAAAATACTAAAGTGGTTAATCAAGTCAAGTCAAAGCCAAATCACTGGGTGCAACACGTCCCAAAAAAAAGGAATCGTGTGCATGTGGCAGCCCCATATCTACGAGTATACACTACAAGTATATTCAAAAATATTTCATTCACCACACACTCTTTTTCTTTCTTTAGATTTTCAGCAATGCACGTATTTTGTGTGCAGGCAGGGCAGTCTAATTATTACTATTTTTTCTAAACTGACAGGGGAAGGAAATTGTTTTTGTTTTTGTTTTTGTTTTTCGAGCAACTAATGCCAGCAAGAAACGAAAACGAAATCGGAGCACTGACTCCTCCGACTGAAATAAAAATGTGTGTATCGTTTCATAAACAAACTCGGGCCGGTCGTTGCCGTTTGCTATTTTTAAAACAATTCTGCGAGCTGGACAGGCAATAGAAGTCGAGTCTGGGAGTTTTCAGAAGCAATAGAGTGGCATAATCCCAGTGGCATGGCACTATTTTCCAGCATAATCATAACATTCTTATGAATGCGGCGCATTTTCATTTTCATTGTTTCCATGCCTTATTGTTAGCATTTGACACTTCCACTTATCCACTCATGTAGTACGAGTAGTATGAATATATTGGGTATATATATCTATAATAGAAAGACCGCTTTGCGTTTATTGCCAATTTTGTATTCACAAAGAACATGTTTAACGTTTGCGTTTGCAGGCAATGATACAAAACAGACACAGGTACAGATACAGATACTCGTACATTTACAGATAAAGATACAAATACGCGTCGTACGCTCATACCATAAATTCAATTAAGTCTGTACTCGTACATACAGATCTGCACACACATATAGTAGTATACTGTATATATGTAGGTATGTATGCTCGTGTATATTTATTTGTTGCGAATACTTTTGAGTGTGAATTCCGCGCACTACGTAGCGAGCTACCACTACCGGTTTCCACCACGATTTGCACGGCAGAGCGATTTCGAACGCACACCAAGAATGTCCCGAGACAACTAAATCCAAATGCAACACAAAACACAAAAACCCACAATCGCAGTCGCAGTCGCAATCGCAGTGGAACCGAAAATCCACCCAAACGATCGGTTCGGGTTCGTGCGCCGCTCGCTGTTTGTTCGCTGCTCGCCACTAAGCTTCCGCTTCGACGATGAACTGTAACTGCGTCGTCTCGTCTCATCTCGTCTTGTCTCGTGTCGTGTCGTGTTGGGATTGGGAACAAGTTCGCTTTCTTTGTTCGACATGATCGTGCTCGTGATCGGTCGGTCCCTTGGGCAGTGTTGCACGGCAGCTGTTTTGTTTACATACATACACTGAGGGAAAAAGATAACAACATTCTAAGCAAGAAGATCGGGCCCAACTCTTAAATACCCTGGATATCAAGTTTGGTCATGCATTTTCTGAGATCCTCGAGGTCATACAGACAAAGCAGGACGGAAAGACAAGCAGACGGACATGTCAATATAGACTTGGGTTGTCATATTCATTAGGAATATATACATATGCTTTGGGGGGGTCGGCCACGCATCCTTCCGTTTGTTAAACTAATATATTCGCATTAAACTTATATATTCTCGTATCTTCAATGAATATACTTGTATATGAAACACAATAAAAATAAATAAAAATAAGTGATATATTTTTAAATATTTTAATTACACATATTTGAACATTTTCTAATTATACTGTATTCTACCATAAATAAACCATTTTTTAACATTTTTAATTTGCCTCTCATGCAATTTGTGAGGTATTTTTTATAGCCCGTGGACAAGAGTCCATTAAATCGTCTGCATGTATGAATGCTCGATCTTGATGAGTACAAGTATATGAGTAAATGAGTAAAATGAGTATATGAGTAAAAGCATTCATATTACATAATTCTTCTTTTTTTTTTTTGATATTATTATCAAGAAATGGGTTTTTTTTTTATTTGTACATCATGAAAAAGTGTTCGAGCTGGTTGTAATACCATTGTTTGAAGAAGTTAGACCAGTCGCTGATTTTCAATTCGTAAAATTAAATTGGAAATGGGAACCTGTTTGAAGATAGAATAGGTATCCCTTTCTCTTATATTTTTCATAATAAATTAAGCATATATTTATCAGCCAAAGCTTCGTTTTCCGAGTTATCGACAAAGTACATACATACCTCTTAGTAATATTTTGGAGAATGACTGCAGGATGTACACACATATGTATTAAACAGGGATTTTAAATTTTTAATTGTTATATTGATTTTCGAGAAACAGTGGGTTAATATATGATTCCAGTTTTCTCGTCTGCATGATAAATGCCTCGATCTAGCAGTAGTTCCCAAGGTTTTGTGGATCTTTCACAAATAACTCAACAAGCCATTTATTTTGTTAAACATATAGCATTATTATTATCTCACGCCCCGAAAGAGCTCCTCTTAGAACTTATTTTCAGAAAGGCATGATTTCTTCGAGTGTAGTGCTGGATGTACTTGTATGTAGTCGGGAGGTGAGTGTGCGCCCCCGCGATGCCTTTAACTCGTTTCTTGTTGCGCTTTATGCTTTTTATGTTGTGTTGTTCGACTGCCGAGTTGCCGAGTTGCCAAGTTGCCAAGTCAAATATTTGGTCGCAGCTGGTTGTAGAAGTTGGAGACTGAGGCTGATGGTCGTAATCATTTTGGTTCGTTTTGTAGTGCAGCCAGTTTAGTGCACAGCCCGTTGACCTTTAATAGATATGTGTGTGGAGAGTATCACGCTGGGTAGGTGACAGAGGCACCGGCCCTCTATGCACCCGTACCGCACCGGAGCCGTATGTAGGTGCGCCGCCCAGGAACCCGTTTTGCGTGCCACTCTGGGCAGCTGTCAACGAAGTCGTAGCCATAGTTATGGCCATAGCCATTGTCCGCTACCGCTGACCGTTGCACATGAGAAATGAATTTATGCCAAAACTGGTTGTCCATGCCGTCCATAAGGCCTACTTAACTCCATTTCTATGTAGGCTTTTGAGCGCGGTGTCAATGTTATCATATTAAAAATCTTTAAGGCCGACTAATTGCCTCTTGAATAGCTGAGATTTGGCTTTGGAGCTGCTTCATTAAATGTCTCTTCGACTTGTTGCACAATGCAGCCAGCCCGCACTGTGACTGACGCGATAGACAAACAAAATAAAAAATAAAAAAAACATCTGAAAAAAAAAAACATACTCGTATACCTTATAGCTAGAACGGGCCTGGGCGCAGCCTTGCAACTTGCCACTCTTGTGCAGAGTTGCAGTTGCAAGCCCCAAGACAGACAGTCTCATAAATTAAACAACTGTGTCAAAGCTGTACAGAAAATGTTGCAGAAAAACAGCGAATCAATAAAAAAACGAATTTGTTTTCTAAGCATTGCAGTAAAGATTGTCAGCTTTACAATCACGTTTCCATTGTCAGCATCGTTGTGGCTGTCGGAAGCACACGACTGTATATAGTCATATGGTATTCACATTAATGATCATCGATCGTTGCCGCTGCCGTTGCCGCTGCCGCTACTTACCTTGGCGTTCCGTTCCTCTAAGCTGCGAACAAACTACCGTTAAGGATAATCGCAGCTCATCATCTATAAACATGATTAATCAACACCTGTTCGTTCTCCGCATAACTCACACACTATACTTAGTATATTTAAATAAGCAGTCAAGGCAGGCTCTGTTTTGTATGCAACTCCATAAATTGTTTACAAAACAAAAAATTTACAAACACACGCAGCTGTTGTTTAATTGAAAAAAAAAAAAAAAATTAATTCCGGAACACCAGGAGCGCAAAAGTCTGCTTTGCACAATGTACTCGTTTGCCTTCTGGAAGCCGGAGGTGGAGAAAGACACGCCCGATATGGTATCGCCGATCTGGAAGGACTTGAATGATACATTTCTAGCGTAAGTTGGTTCTTCTCTGACTTAACACCGCCTTAACCGACTCTGCAGGGTTCTCAGCTGGAGCTGGCTGATCTACACCATAGCCGTGGTTATCATCAGCATTTGTGTATATTTTGCTTACTGCGAGCGTTGTCGACGCACGGAATATGTACGCCGTAGGCGAGTAATTCAACGCGCCCAGGAAAGGTAGGTGGTATTCGGAGTCAGTGGTAAAAATTCTCCAACCTTAACCCTTATGCCCTGCCTTTCCACGCAGACCCCCACAGAAGCGACGACCCAATGCTGCCTATCGCGACCATCAGATATATCGGCACATAATACTGAGTGTGGCCAAATATATGAAGGATCCCGCCGGCATACGTCCGTTCATCGATCACATGGATCAGCTCTATCCCATGAGACAAGTGCCAAATGACGAGCAATCACTGCCAGAGCTTCCTGCCGATGAGGCTGCCATGGCACTGGCTATGAGCGAGGACTGAGGACTGCGGCGATGGCTAGTATCTGAGCACAGCTCTGATTTTTGCGTACACCTCCAGGGCTATCCACATTGGAAAATCGCTCCTCAATCAAAATTGTAATATTTCGGACCTGCACACACTTAAATTGCTCGCCAAACCTACTCTCCTCTGGAGGCGGTACATGCGCAATAGTAAATGGCCTCCTCAGTTTGTTTGCATCCCAAAAAGTATACAATGCCTATTTGCCCACACAAGCGCCTCTTCCAATCTATCACATATTTGTAGCTACGCGCTGGAAACGATGCCATAAATATGTACACATATAAACAAATACCATGTGCCATGTGCACCGCCTAAGCTTTTTCCGCAAGCGAGCTTTGGGCAAGTTTACACGGCCATACAGGTTTCGTCCAAATTTTCTGAAACACATTGTCGTTCATTTTTCGGGAAAAATAAAAAAAAATATATATAAAAAAAGAACAGTCTTTAACATGGAAAGGAATTGAGTAGTTGGTCTTCTTATTATGGAGAGATATTTATAAATCGTCTGAATAAATTATTTGCGCTAATGGATATGCCAATAATGTACTATATTTATAAATTTCATGAGTATTACTTTTGCTTCATGGTACAAAATTTTATCATTATTTGGTGTTATTGTGAAACATTTCGGCTTCCCCTAAAGAATAAAGTCCGTAATGTTTTGTCAAACAAATAATTAGACAATTTGGTTTTAAATATTATTTTTGTTTTTGATTATGAAGCAAAATTGAATAAAGAAGCGATAGAAATATGCACATTAAATTAAAATCCGTAAGAGGACAAAATGAATAAAATGTAATTTATAGATTCATATAAATTTATATTTTATGAGAGCTTATCATTTTAGTCAAGAAAGCTTACATGTTTCTGAAATCAATTTGAAGCCAGAATCTGAGGTGTTTTTTCATTTGAGGACAGTACGTTTTTCGTGTTTAGCTACTTTAACTTAGTTTTAAGAACACATCAGTGCAGCACTTTGTTGATGCTATAAACGAAAGTGTTGTCTCTTACACAAAAAGACTCCGCAAAATAAGTACGATTCTCTCACCTTTCTACCTATGTGTGAACAGAGCCTTGCGGAGCGAAAGCTTTCGTTTCGCTCAGCAATTTATTGGAACTTCTCTTTACTGTTGCGTGTGCCAGCAGTGGTGGTGTTTTCTTCCAGCACAGCACAGCACAGCGCAGCTCTCTCTCTCTCGCTCTCTCTCCCTCACGGCTGTGACGGTCGACGGGCGTGATACCAGCGGAGGTAGCATATAGCCTGCTATGTTTGGGATCCAGTCGTCAGTCGCCAGTCAGTTATTAAACGCGTTCCACGTACGCGCGCGCTTTGAGCAGCAGAAGCAACCGTCGAAGCAGCAGTGCGGGCGGGTTCAGTGGTTCAGTGGTTGTTGGATACAGGCAGGCAGGCGCACATACTGTTTGGCAAACAATGTTTGCAGACAACGCATTTTCTTCCAAAATGACAAAATAAAAGAACAAAATTGTCCCCAATATGTTAAGCCAACTTGTGTGCCGATGTGATTGTTCAGTTAATTGACAAATAATCGCAAACACATTTGTGCAAAACGAAGGACGGAAGGAAGGAACCAAACAAACCCACCCATGCATGCATTTACATATCTCTTCCCCCCCTTTTTTTCCTCCGAGAATGCTGCCAGCTTTAGGGATAGCAAGGTGGCAGCAGCGCATAAATATGTAGATAAATAAAAACGCCAACAAGTAAAGCTAAAGGCAAATTCGAATATTGACGGGGTGGACAGAAAGACTGGAAGCCATAGAAAAACTGAAGCGCCAACACACAATAAATACGCACGGACACAATATGGACTGTAAAGATGGATGGTCCTAAATTATAAAGAAAAAATAAAAGTAGCACATTCGATTTGTTGCGTGGTCTTTAACAAATTCTAGTTAATCCCAACCCCGCCCCGACGTCAGCCCCGTGTTATCGCCGACGAAAGCTTTCCATGATTTTCTGTGCTCTTAAATTATATGTGACATACTATATATGTATATATTTATCGGGGGGTCTTAGGATGGCACTTATGCCGCTCATTTCATTCTGAAAGTCGATACACAAAGCGCTGGCATATATTAAAATATTATGTGTTTAATTTGATCGATTGGGCGACGCTTTAAACGACGCTATCGACGTCCCACACAATATGCATAATTTTCTGGATTTGTTTTGTTTATTTGTCTGTTTGTTTGTTTGTATAATTGTAGCCACGAATGGGAGCGCAAGCAAAAGTGATAAAGACAGTGTGTTCATATAAAATAATAAAATAAGGACTATATACAAAAAAGCTACGAATCACAAAACGAGAGACAAACAGCAGCAACAACAACAGCAACAACAGTGGCAGATCTGAATGTGCAGTCCGATTTGTCATATGCCTACGGTAAGTAAGACTTATCCTTAAGCTGCCACCAAGCACAAGCAAGCACAAATGCACAAGGATTAGCAGAAACCCATTGAAGTGCCGTCCTTGGCCCATCGCGCCTGCCAGAAAGCTCAGTTCAGCTGTTGCAAGCATCATTTCCATAATTTTTTGCAACCTTATTAACGTTCCTTGTAGTGGGTTTCTATGTTCCTATCCATTTTTTCGTAGTTCGCCCTTCAAGGACGCCAACTGAGTGCAATTTTTCCAAACTAGACCCCGTTCGTAACACACTTTATCGATCAGACAATGTGAAATCTTACACCTTGCGCCAGAGCACAAGTCAAGGGCTTAATTATAATGCAATTTTGTATTCTCCTCTATTCTGTATATTTTATTTTTTTTTTTCGTAAACCCCACCACAGCTGTTGCGGTCTCGAAGGCAGCCCCCGCTCTTGAATAATTAAGCGAACCGCGACCTGGACGATTTGCTTCTTTCGGCTCGTACCCCTACTTCGGTGCAATTTTTCACGCATGCAAAGCCCTGGCATACTTCAAGGCCATTTGTGCACACACACACACACACACACACGCATACACACATGGTCCCACATGTGGGTGGCAAGTAGGTGCGGACGTGATGAGTGTGTGTGCTTTCATGAAAATGCAAAACGAAATAAAAAATGTCTGGGGTCAGCAGGCCAGTAGGGAATCACAATGAAACCTAAATTAAAACCGAAACAGAGACGCAAAATAACAATTTCTTTAAAATGTTGCTCAGGCCACTCCCACGTACTACTCTTACTAAATTAAAAGTAAGGTGAAGAATTGTTTTGGCAACAAAAACGTAAATATCTTAAAACCCACAAAGCTATTTTCAAGAGTCATTCAAATAAGTTTATTGAAATTAAAAAGTGATTTATGCGAGCCTTTGTGTTGCTATTTTAATACAAATGTGATAGCCTTATCAACTAATTGCTATTGAAAAATGTCCAAAGTCTTGGTAAAAATTCAACGAAAGCACGGATGACCGGTCACACTCCTGGGGACTTACTATATTAACAAAGTATGATATTTTCAAATTTTGTGAAAGTCATGACTCATATACCTTCTTATTTTCTTTACGTACATTAAGCTTTGAACACGTCTAACGGTACTCTCACCGATAAGGTCCGGATAAAGAAAAATCAATCAGCTTTCTAAATATTTTATTGACTCTCCAAGCAGCTTATGCAGAAAATGATTGAAAATGGAAATGGGGCATACTTTTAGTTCTCTTTAGAAGTTGTTGAAGTGTGTGGTATTCAGGTAGAGGGAAATGATAAACCACATTAGAGCCGCCAATAAACGTTGTTCTGGACTATTATTGAATATATATGCAATACGTCGGAATACTGGATATTTAAACTCAAAACCAATTCTAAGGAGTCCTTAAGTTTTAGAGAAGTTCCATGCCTACGGTGGCATCCTATGTGCGTTGTTAGCGGTGCGGAACCTTTAAAGGAATTATGGAGTAGTACCCATACTTCTAATATACATATAACGAATAATATGAACGACAGTGGATGTACAGAATAGTCAATATGTTCATCGATAGTTCCAGCATTTGGATTCAGATATCAAAAATTTTGAGTCATAGTATTGAATTTGTTTTCAAAATGGATATTTTGATCGTATTATATAGTAAGTAAGAGAATAGGAATAAATTGTGTTAGATGGCGAACGCATTTTCTCTGCCTGAAGATCGTATTTGCTCCACAAATAATTCAAAATAGCATTAATTAAAGTACTTAGAGGATCGTTATATAAGAATAAACTAATCTTGTGAGTGAAGTTTTGCTAGATTTGCAGCAATGTACGTTATTTACAAACTAAAGGGAAGTACCGCTTATACTACTTTAAGTAAGGGGCTGACGCATATCGGAGTATGGGACCAATTTGATTTTAATATTGGAAGCACAATTTCCACTGTACTACCAACATATCAATTTATTACTATACCTCTGCAAACATATAGTATAACAAAATAAGTATCGATGTTTGAGTTGCGTGGCGTAAACAAATCCGGTATCGAGCCCGCGCCCCGACCTGCCTTTCAGTTTGTCAAAGGGTTTTGGCCCAATTAGCCGCCCAATTTGTGGCCCACCAAGTTATTTGTCGTGGGCGTCCAATATTGGTGGTACATAAAAATTCAATTTTGGTGCAGGTTCTACGATCTAGTGCATGGACTTAGTCTTATATCTCAGTTAAACCAGAGCTCTGAGCGCAAATAGCCAGTCACAGGCAAATGTGAAATAAACACAAATACTCGAGCATGCAATTTGAATGCATTTATATATCCACTCGCATATATAGTATGTTATGCATGGAGTTTTCAGTTTAGTTGCTGGGGATGCTTAGTCCGTCGCCTTGGCTAAATGTCAAGTCACCGCACGTTTCAGTCCGCTGTCTATTTGGTTCGCTATTCTGCTTTTTTATTTTTCTGATTTGGCGCTCTTGTTTTCATTTTTTATTGATCGAATGTCAGTATGTCGTCTGTGTCTGCGCTTCGGCGAATGTTTGTCTGTAGAAACTCATGTCCTTCGAGTGGAAGGAGTCATTTGATTTGCAGCAAACATGCATACAGATTGGATTTGATGGAAAATATATACTCAGTACATACTCGCACATATGTGCTATAAACTCAAATTGTAAGGAAGACAAACAGTATTTTATAAATTGGTGCTTCTTCCATGGAAGAAATGGAACCGTTTACCAAAACATGACTGAACTTATTAGATCAGTATATCAGGAATTAAAGCAGGGACGTGCATTGATTTAAGACAAATTCGGAGTGGTTGTGCTATAAACTCAAATTGTAAGGAAGACAAACAGTATTTTATAAATTATTGATATTGATATTGCTTCGGCATTATCTGATCGAAATCGGTACACTATATCATATAGCTATATAGGAGTGATTGGCACACCAAAGGTTATTTTTGTTGCAGGGTTGTTTTGGGGAAAATCGTACATATATACCATACTATATAAACATTTACCTGTGCCTCACCAGGCATTTAGATACTGCACGAAATAAGTTGTAACCGTTCTTTCTCGCGATTTGAAAGCGATTTACTTTGTCATAAATAAATCAAAAGCCATCTTTGTTAACGCACCACATTTTCTAATCACTTAACTGCAAATGTGCATTTCAACAATTTCGCAAGTCGTAAAGGATTCCTGTGCTATGACGTTTTGCAAATTTCGTGCGGCGTCTTCACGTAATAAGCTGTGGGCGTCTAAATATGTACATATGTATGTGTGTGTATAAATTTCCGCCTTGGCTTATGCAACTGTTGGCCAAGGCAGTCGTAACCATGGCCAGAACCTGAACGTCGTCACTCGTTGTTCTCAGTGCAACCTGTGCGTCTGAAAACTTAACTGCGTCACCCCTAAGAGGCAAGCAGCGGAGCGAAAGGAAATCAGAAGCATAATCAATGAAAGCCAGGCACGAATATATTGTACATTGTGGCAAACACATAGATGGGCCCTTTGTCAGGATACACGGCGCATTGTCCTTGGCCTGGTCACACCATAACGCAAAATTGACCCCAAAAGGCGAACGATTCGGTGCGTCGGCGACTGCCGCGCCAGTAGGCGGGCTCGGGACACGTGAACGTCGCATGTGCCGGAGTTGTAAAAATCATAACGAAACACCCACACGCACATAAAAGAAGAAAGATATAGAATCGTCGAAGCGTGGAGTGGTCGAGCGAGCCAGACTAAGAAATACTCTAAGCTGAACAGGTTTTAAAGTGCTTTAGAGTTATGAATAGCTCAAGAATGATGTTAGATGTTTAGGTGAGGATTGTCAAAGTAGTCGTTTAAACATGGTGCTGAGCTGATTCCGAATAGACGGATTTTTATACCCTGTACCCGTAGGGTAAAAAGGGTATATTAGGTTTGTGCAAAGTATGCAACAGGCAGAAGAAAGCATCTCCGACCCCATAAAGTATATATATTCTGAATCAACATGACGACAGAAATCGATCTAGACATGTCCGTCCGTCCGTCGGCCCGTTCGTCTGTCTGGATGAACGCCTGGATTTCGGAAACGGCTGAGCGTACATAACCCAAACTTGGTATGCAGACCCACCTAGTCCCTAGTCTATACGAGTTTATTTTATTTTTTTGATTTTCCCTCCCCTCTCCCCGCTATAGAATTTCGCCAATACTCTCCAATTTTCAAAAGCTATCTTAACAAAACTTTGCACACATCATTTATATATAATTATATACTTTCAAATTTCATCTCAATCGGCTAATGCTAAGAAAAGTTATTAGCGAAACAATTTTAGTTCGGTACTACGCCCACAAGCTGCAGCATCAAGTTCGCTCTTCTTCTTCCTTTTGCTTCTGCTAGAGGCGCATATACCTCAGTGCCGGAAGCTTACCTGTGTACAGGGTATTTCACCGTCGGGCTTGCTCGACTGTAGCGTTCTGTCTGGTTATGTTTCGAGAACGACTTCATTCCTCTGGAAGAACATAGGTCGGTCAACTATTTGTTTTCGTAGACTTGGGGAACAAAAAAAGTCGGGTTATCTTTGATCATGACACAAACGAAAGCTGTATCATCTTTTGAAATTTTTGAGCACCAAACATCCTTTTCAGCGTTGTACTGAATCAATTACTTCATTTTTTCCATGATATCAGAAACGCCTTGCTGGATCAACTTTCTTTGAGTCCTGATACTTTAGTTGAAGCCTTTAAAAATCATGTTTTGGAGCTTCGAATATTGTTTAAGGCGATAGTAAAAAGTATATGCATTTTTATGAAGAGTATTTTTAAAGGCAGTGGAAACTCTTGGAAGCCTGCTGGAAACTGGTGTTAATCTGATCCATAGGTGTCTCAAAATTGATTCTGAGTTCTAAGAATTGTTTGAACAAAAGTGCAAAATATATTAAGCTGGCTCGGAGCTGTTTAGCAATTGTTTCAGAGGCCTACAATTTTTATGAAAAACAAGTGGATAAATGCATGTTTTCTTCTTCAGAACTCATGGAATATATTTGAAATTTGTAAACTGACTCGAAAGTGGTTTCTGGTGAGAGGATGAAATTGTTTATTTAATGGCTAACTAGCAAGCAAAGTTTATCTGTTGGAGCACTAGTCAATAGTTTGAATAAACATAGCATATGCAATAAAATTGTAGTTATTCTAATTGTGTTTTAGCATTTCTCATAGTTCCAAGGCCATTTGATAGTTGATTCCAAAGACGAATAGCAAGTCAATTACATTGACTTTAAAAAAGCGATAAATTGAATAGTCAATTGTTCTTCGTGGTGCAGGAAAGACTTAATTTCTGTAACAAAATTAAAACCGTAGCATTGATTCATAAAATTAAGGTTGCGGAAAAATGTTTTGTACGACTATTGTTAGTTTAGGGAAAAGTTTTAGAAAAGCTTTAATAAAATTGCTTGATGTGCATATTAAAAAGTACTTTTTTTAAACTGCATAGTGTGTCTATAATAAATCAGAACGATATTCAGGCGTACAGATAGCTAGGAGACGAGACACGACGCCACGTCACGTTAGTCCTTCGGCCTTTTACACTCACTTGAACGATTTTATAAACAATTTAACGCACTATAAATATATTTCTGAGCTAAAATAACCACAGATTGGTTATAAATAATTTAGTCCAGCTTGTTGCAGTATTTATATGTGTAATGGAGGGTTGCAAGTTCCGCCTAAAATGTCAGCATATGCATATGACATATGCCCGTAAATATCCTTTGTATGAATTATGCAAACTAAATGTGATGCCTTGCCACAGTTTCGTAGGAAGGGGAAGCAGTTGCTGATATGAGTATAAATATGTACCTACCAGCACTATAAATAGAACAGGCATAGAGGCAATAACTTTCACAGGCACGTGACACAAACGTTCATTTCACAGGCGGCAGTCAGCCATCAGGCAAGTGAGGTCATGCCTCATGAGAGTGTGCGAGTGTGTGTGTGTGCGTTCGTGTGTGTTTGAGAATATGACTTACATCATACCCAGAGCACCGAAATGACAATTAAGGATACGCTGCAAATCATTGTCTCCAGGGAAATTGGCCTAGATATTGTTTTATGTTGGTAACAAAGCGTAACAAAGTTACTTAAGCAAATCTTCAAAGCCATACTCTCAGCTCTCAACCCATTACGAAACTTTAATACTGCTTTCAATACTAAATATAATGGTTTATAAATGTTGATATTTGAAGAACTTGTATATAATTGTTGATTGATTTTAAAAAGTGCTTTTTGCACAACCAACAAATCCTGAAATAACAAAACTACTTAAGTTATATTTCTAAGCAAACAGGTTGGTCTATAGACCCAAAAGTTCGATCCTGTGACAGCTGAATAAGAGATCGTCCTACTAAGAGTGGCTTTTGCACTGATCCGTCAAATGGCAAATCTAGTAAAGCCTTCCTCCCTTCGTGAATGGCTTTTTAACATATAAATGTCACAGGGATTTGACTTAAATCAAAAAACAAAAAACTGCAATGGAATAGAGAGGAACACTACTCAAAAACTAATATGCATTTTAAGTTAGTTCGAATACTGTGATTTCATCTGCAGCAACAATTGTTCTCACTCTTGAAGGCGGGTACGAGTAGTTGCAAGAAAATGCTTGACTTCCGACTTTACAGATTTCACTTGGATAATTGCATTCATTCTAACAATAATGTGACTACTATACTCGTATAGGTTTATCTAATACACTTTTTTATATTCTTTCAGATACGCACAATTGATTCGAATTACAAGAAATATTAATTACAAAATTCACAGTCACAATAAAAGAGGATAATCACAATCGCAAAACAGCAAGCCGGCATGCTAAAAATAAAAATCGAAGCCTTACAAAAGACGAACCGGTACAAAATAATACATATACTATTCCAAATAACCAGTTAGAATCCCCCATTTTGGGCTGTGCTATGAATAGTTCTTAAATAATAATTGAATTACGATAAAAACATATGGAAAATAATTTAAATAATTTAAACTAGAAACACATTTAAGCCACTTAAGTATATATACATATATATATAATCGATATTCTTCCAATTGAATGTTTTAAAATTAAAATAGAATGAATTTTTAATATACTTATATGTAGAATATATGCGCACGAGCAGCATCTGTATAATTTATGGAAACAATCGAAAAATAATTGAATAATTTAAATTAGTAAAGGAGCGTTGTGAATTTTTCTTACAAATACGAATATATATAAAAAAAATTACATTCGGGAACTGTAATTGCAATTTTACAAACTATTATTGACATTTTAGAAAAAAACCAACACACACATAGACACACATATACTGGTATAATAGGGTCGGTGGAAAACCATTATCCTTAAACTTAACCTCAGCCCAAGCAAACCACATAAAGCTCTCTCTATAGCAATCACTAATAACAACGACGACGACTACGACGGCGGCGACACGGCGACTTGGCCCGTTGCCAGCTCTACTCTGAGGAGTAGGCAGGAGGCCTACATAATAAACAAATTTGGCAATCAAAGCACCAGTTAGTTCTAAAGGCTCTATCGCAACGACAGCCTCGACCTTCGCGTGTGCAGGCGTTCCACGTACACACACACACACATCCACACACATACACACACATACCACACTAGTACCAGCGGTTGCCCTTCCTGCTAACCATGACCGGAAGTGGGGCACAACTCCAGTCCAGCATTGCATAGCTCCGAAACGCCAAATAAACTACGAAACGAAAAAAGAAACGACCACCGTCCGCACGCAGTGGCCGCAAAAATGCAGGAAATGAGCTACCTGCAGGATAATTCCAAAGTGGAGGCTCTCACCAAATCTGTACTTATCACCATATTGGGCGTCGCCATAGTTCTATCAAACCTGCTAATCATAGCCACATATGCCAACTTCAAAGGTTCGTAACGACCATACTTCATTTTCTCCCATTTACTAAACTAATTCCACTCCTGCAGGTCCCACGGAGGTCATCAACTACTATTTGCTATCGCTGGCCATTGCAGACTTGCTATGCGGCCTACTCGTAGTACCCTTCTCCGTCTACCCGGCCCTCACGGGCGAGTGGATGTACGGCGACATTGTCTGTCGCTTCACCGGCTATCTGGAGGTCACCCTCTGGGCGGTCTCCGTCTACACCTTCATGTGGATCTCCGTAGATCGGTATCTGGCTGTGCGGAAACCACTCCGATATGAAACAGTGCAGACAAAGACGAGGTATGAATATCTAAGCACACCCACAAGCTGTGGACTCTCTATGTGATCTCAGCGTCGTCAGATTATGGTTTCCAGTTTCGCGTCAAATTATACGGAATTGAAATAATGTTCGAAAATTTCAAATTTCAATTCAATTAAACTTGCAATACAAGTCAGGCGGTACTACTTGAAACATCGAAAGAGCTAATAATCGAACCTGTGTGCTGAAAAGAGCAAGGACATTAAATATCTAATTTTACAAAAGACAGTCAAATCGAGCTAAAATTTGCAGTAATTTTCCAGAATTCTGACGCATATATGTCTGATGTTTTTAAGTGCTCTTTTTCAATTCATTTCTTATACAAAAGAACTTCGATTTACAAATTCTAGATTGCTCTGAAGTTGTATACACAGGTGCTTGTAAATAATAAGAAAAGATTTTGTCTCTTATATTTAAATTCATTAATAGAAGAATATCAATAAGGAATAACTTTACGTTTAGCTTGTGGCCACAAGAACAACATTCGCGACACATGTTTTTGTATCCTTTTTCGATGTATCGATTCACGGGACTTTCTCGATAGTAAAATATTTTACATATTTGACATTTTTAAAATTGATTAATGCTTTTTGTTGTGTGTGTTTTCCACGTTTCCCAACGTTCGTGATATTTTGTTACGAGACTTTTTTGATAGTAAAATGTGAATAGACTTTTTCATTTTGTTTTCCAATATTTTCTTCACGTTTTTCCAACATTCGTTTTGTCAGAGCCGCTTTGACTCAAATTTGTTGGCTACATTTTTTTGGTGGTCTCTCCTTGCTTTATCTGATTCCCTGAGTTGTGCTCAACTTTTTCGATATCAAAGACCAGACCACGCCTCCAATGATTCTTGGTTAGAATAGCTTCAGACCGACTTTCCATCCTACCCTATTAAGACTGTGAAGCAATCTAAATTTAATAATTTAAATAATTTTTAATTTCATAAACAATTTGATTGCCTTAAGTTATCAATTTTCATAACAACTAAATAATTACAGATGCCAGTGCTGGATGGTCTTCACATGGATATCCGCTGCCCTGCTCTGCTGTCCACCGATACTAGGCTATTCGAAGCCCATAGAGAACAACGTGACGCACATTTGTATGCTCGATTGGGGGAATATGGCGGCGTATAGTGCAACACTTGCGATATTAATCTTAGGTCCTAGCCTTATTTCGATCGTACACAACTACGGCTATATATTTGTAATGATGCGTAAGCTTAAGTCCGGCGAGCCGATACACGACAAAGAATATGCAACTGCATTGGCTGAAAATTTATCGAATCCTAGTCATATGATGTCATTCGCATTAGTGTTTGCATTCTGGATGTCGTGGCTACCCTGGATCTCGCTTCGACTGTTTGAGGTAATCACGGGCGAGGTTATACAAAGTACTCTTATCAATTTTGCAGTCGTTTGGATTGGCATATTGAATTCATTTTGGAAAATTCTCATCATGACCGGTATGTCGCCGCAGTTTCGTATCGCTTTGAGAGTATTTTGCTTAACGATTTGCTGTAAAACTAAGGGCCGTTTGCAAGCAGAGCTAATCGGGTTGGACCCAGATGACTAGAGTCGTTAGATTTTCACGTGACTAAGGATCATTCAATCCAAACCAAAACCAAAACCAAAACAAAATCAAATCCAATTAAACACAAAAACAAAAACTAAACAAATCAACCCTACCCAGCCAACATACTTACATATGTATAGCCTGATCGAGTACCCGAATTACATAATTGGATTGTAAATTACACACAACAACAATGAGCAGAACTTTTCTGTCCCTCTATATGTATACTATACCAGTATATGGTTGCATATTTATGGCCGTTTGGTAATGCTACGCTCTATATCTATGCTAAGAAGTACTACTATTGTTAATTCACAAGAATCACGCAACTCCCATCACCAACAGACGACATACAGCAGACACCAAACACCAAACACCAGAACCCAGACACGATAAAGAAACGCTAAAAGACATATTCATCGCTAGTTGTAAGCCTGTAATCCTGTTAAGATTTTATGACTAAACTAAACTGCGACAAGATCGAGGTGAGGTGACTTTTAAAGCTGCCCCTGGCGGGAATTGTAGGCTCTGCCGAACAATATTTTCGTCTGGGTGGTCTTGGCAAAAGCTGCTCTCCTCTCTTGTAGCAAATTGTTATGCTACGACCTAGTTTTATTAGACATGTAGTTTTTACTGTACTATATATATTGTATTTATGAGCTTATACGTATATTGCGGATATAACCAGCTACATATATACTAAACATTGTATATACTATACAGTTGACAGATGATATACTTGTATTGCATAGCCTAACATCTATTTGAATTGTAGCTAAAAGCAATGGTAGGTAATTTGTAATACTCGGTTCGATTCGATTCGATTCGCAATTCGATTCCAAATTTTTAGCGGTCCTTAGGGTAATCTCGCAAATTGTTCAACATATTCAAAACATAAACATATACAAAGTTTAAAACTTCTTTATAAATACGTTAATTGAGATGTAATATATTTCCAAGTCCATATTAAGTAGAAAAGATATAAACAAAATAAATTGAAACAACAACAAGTTAACGACTGCTTACAAAATAAAAAGCTATGAATAAAAGGTTGAGTGAATCACAATTGGCAGCTTCGATTAAACAAGAGCCATCTAATTTAGGTATACTCGTAAACTTGGTGCGATATTAGTCAACCGATTTTGATCAAATGTTAGTATAGAGCCAACACCAATTACAATTTTTGAATAGCTAAACGAACACAGATGAAAAGTTGCATACACATATAGGTTATTTGCTCTGAATGTACGTTTATTATGTGAGAAGAGAATAATATGAAGAAATGTATTGGGGTATTCGCCAAAAATATGTCCAACTATCAGTATAGAGAAAATTAACTAAATCAATACATTGTTTGAAAGTTAAGTCTCTGAATCAAGCGTAATATCCGCTTCTAGCGATTAAAGAACAGATCAACCAAATCTATTACTTATTTTCAAAGTAAATCGAAAATGTTGCTACATAATTCAAATATTTCTATGAATTAAAGCTTAAAGACAAAAGACATTGTCAAGGTGTGTTTAGAAAGACACTTGAAAGAAGTAAGTCTCGGTTTCTAAACTAATATTCTATTCTAACGTTATATCCCTTCGCTAAGATACAAAACGGATCTTTATTGTATACGCTATATATTTAAAATGTAATCCAAAGATTACTTCTTATCTAGTATTTCAAAAATATTTATGAAATGTAGTTCCAGTCCGTTCAGCAAATCAGAAATAATTCTACATGATGTTGAAGTAATATTTTTAATACAAATTAGAAGGTTTCAGAAACACAAATGAATGGCTTTAGTCTCTGAGTCTTTGCTTCTATCGTATTATAACGTTACATCAGTTGTTGAAGATTAAATAAGATAAAATGGATCTGTTGAGCGAGTCAGAAAGATTCAAGATTCTAAACGAAGTTAAAGTAACATTTTTCAATATAAATTAGAAGATTTTAGAAACATAACTGAAAGTGTTTAGCCTTTGTTTTTATACCTCTGTCGTATGATAACGTTATATTTGTAATCTGAATTTAAAAGTGTATTCCAGCGCTAACGCTTAACAATTTCTTCTAATAAAGTAGTATTTCGAATGTCAGTTTGGGAAGTTCCAAAATATTTCCACACAATGCTACTTTTGAGCAATTTTGCAATATAAAAAATGTAAAAGTTTAGACCCATTGAAAGAGTTTAGTCTCTATCTCTAATTATCGCGAAAGATCCGTTGTTTACGATAGAAAAAGAAAAGAACATTGGTGAATACCTTATATATATAACAACAGCAATCAAATCTAATACTACAAACTTTCGGTAGGTGTTATTAGAAAACATTTCTTCTTCAAAAATCATGTACGTTATTTCGAAATCGTTACTTAAATAATTCGCAGATTTTTATGCAATAATGTTTCAGTCGGAATTAATTCCTGAAGATGTTGAAAATGTTGTGAGTAAAGAAAAAAAAACATTGTAAATGTAAACTAAGAATGCATTGTATGTAAAAGTGTAAAGATGCTTATTAATTGATCGTTCGAACTATTGTGTAAGTGTGTAAGACCCATACATATACTACTTATACCTAAGAAGGCCAATGAATGTACATGAATTTCAGTCAGTTAATTGATTGATATTCGAGCATACGCCCTCAAGCAGAAGCACAACTTTTTACAGTCCCAGTCGCGTACTTGACCGACTATTCTCTCCAATTTGGCCTAGTTCCTTAGTGGGCCCAATTTAGTCTCAGGGTCTGTACAGTGTTATGCTTATGCGCCAGGAAACCAACATGTGGGCTCGAAAATGGCCAAACCGACGCGTTGTATTAAGTGCTATTGTAAATACTATGTATTACTTTACAAAAAGTGAAAAGAGTGTAAACATTAATTTTATTGAAAGTAAATTTTGGAAACTTATGAGTTTATTTGTTTTACTAATAGCAATTAATTATACAATCCATACAGAACTTGAGCGAAAGGTAAAAAGTTATAACAAGCCGTTGTTATTTGAGAGTTTTTTCTTTTTATTTTCTGAGCTGACTAATGAAAATGTCCAGTTCGAAAATGGAATTCGATTCAATTTAAGGAATTGGAATTTGCAAGATTATTAGATTCGACTTCCACAAAATGTTTTCATTTAATTGGGTCTTGGCATAGCTCAACGAGCTAGCAGGAATCCCACAATGTGAGTTTGTTCCTTGAGTAGGCATAATTTATCTACACATATGTACAGAGTATTGAAATAATGTCGGAGAACCCGACTTTAGCTTCTCCGCTTGTTTAATGTACAGCTTTATTCACAATAATTCGAAATTACATTTAATTTAACAATTTATTTGCACTTTCAATTCTAAATTTCGGCGCGGGCAGCAAAATGTAAAAGTGCCCCCCAAAAGTATGCTATCAACATATTTTTAAGAAGTATTGAGAGAGATACAGAGAAAAAGAATGTGGTTTTCAAATTATACACTCTACATAACTAACACTAATAGCAAAAAATGTTTTTGTTTTAAAAAATTGTAGCGCGTGCGCTTTTAACTTTGATTGTTGTCTCTGCTACATAAAAAGAATATCCCTTTCGCCACATACAGGAACCAAGAAAAGTTAAAATATCCCATTGTTTAAAGAAGGAGACGGCTTTATTCTTCAATATAACAGCTTATTAAAAGCTTTTAGAAAAGTTTTCCTTAATATTCTCGTCTTATAAAAAGAAAAACAGTTAGGAAACTTAAAGAAAATTATCTTAAGAATATTAAAGTCTTTAAGAAGTATCTTGTAAACTAACATTGAGTAATTACAACATGTGTAAAAGGATTTCTACTTGTAAGTGTTTTATTTTCCATAAACTTTTATAGTCGAAGAAAACAAAGTAAATATTAATTATAGAATTTCTCGATGAATTAATAATAGCAACACTTTGCTATCGGCTTAAGGCATTATGCTACTTAAGTCAATATATGAGGAATTGCCTAACGGAAAAAGGAAACACAAAGCGTTTCATTTTCTTAAACGGAGTTCATACACAGTTTCCCACATCAATTATGTAGCCACAGCTCAACCGTACAACACGATTATATATTTATCATTTGCAAGCCGCAGAGTCTTAAACAAAATGAAATAGCAAAGGACGGGCACTCACAGAACAACAACAATAGCAAGCGCACACAACTATGTATATCTTTATGCAAGTAGTACTTATGTGTGGGTAGAAAGTAGTACGAAAATGCAAAGGGATGCAGTAAGACCGCAATAAAGGCAGCAGCAACAATAATAATGGCATAAGCACACACACACACACGCAAACACACAAATACACAAGCAGAAGGCAGACAAGTCTGATCTGCCAAAAGGTATTCCCCAAGAATGCCGACAAGTATGACCACAAATGCCAGACAACTGATTTACCGCTCCACACAAAGGCACATCAGCACAAGTGCCGACGACTAAACAACAATGCCATCCCCTTCCATTTCGACTTGCTCCAGTTGCCTTCAGCCTTCAGCTTTCAGCCGTCAGCCTTCAGCCTTCTCTGACTTTCCTTCTTACGACCCAATGCAACCAACCACACTTGTACAAATGCAAAACCACTTTAGAGCGAAACAGAGTTGCGGCCTTCGCTCCGCTACACTCCTCCGCTTCGACTCCCTCCAGTATCTTCAAGCAGGAAAGCAGTAGCAGGCAGTGCTTGTGTAAGAAAGCACCGCTCCGACAACGACCTTGACACACAATGGTCGTAGACCAAAAGGTTCATAAAACTGGGACTCAACCGACAAATGTCCGTTCACAGCTTTGCATTGCCAGTGCCTGCTCGTCCTTCTCCTCCTCCTCCTCCTCCTCAACTTCCTTCTCCTCCTGCTGCTGCTGTTGCTGCTGCTGCTCTGTTCAAAGAAGTTCCAAAAGTCACACACTCATACTTGACTTGGTAGAAGGATTGTTGGACCGTGGTTAATTGTGTGTGCAAGCTTTCAAATTGTTGTCAGATGAAGTGGCGGCTGGCATGGGGGGCGACAACGGAGCTCAGTGCAAGGCTCTCTCCCCTCGTTGCAGGCCGTTGTTGTTCTTGCCAATTTGCTGCAAATCTGTTTGTTTCTTTGCCATACACTCATACACACTCACACATACACACGCACCAGGCACCAGACACCAGACAGCTTTTGAATGCAACGACGTCTTGTGCACTGCTCCGGTTAGATTTATCGTAGCATGCTTTTGGGGGCAGCTGGCTGCAGTTCAAAATCTTCAACGTCCTGCATTTGCCACAGACACTCACAGACAAGCACACACACACACACACATTCACGTTGCTCAACTGGCATTGCTTCCTTAAGTGTGGATTTGATTGCTGTTCAATATTTTCTTACATATTTGCATGTGCATCGATAGTAGGCCAATTATTTGGTGAAAAGGTACCTTCGCATTAAATCACTTCTTATTCTCTTCCTCACACACATTCCTTGGAAAAAGGTGCTTTGTGGCTCCTCAGCAATAATGCTTAAGTAATGCAGTTATAGCTTAATTACATTTGGATTCAGTCTTCACCTCTTGGTCGATAAACAGCATTCACAAAACGTATGAATATGAGTAATAATGTTCGCTGGTTTAGAGGCATGAATATTAGAGTGCTTGACTGGAATTGGGTATACAATTGAGATCCTTTAGGAACTTCTTTTGAGAGAATCGTATGCCAGTGGAAGCAGCTTAGTACATTGACTTAGCGACTTCTGTTAACTAACTGCTGGCACTAGAATCCCGCTCTCCACATGTTAACTATTTCTACATTTTTCCTTCATATTCAGCTTCTGCCCTGGAATGGTCTGGATTGGTAATCATAAATGGCTTCGAAACTTTGTCGATTCTATAAGTAAACGTATAATTTAATTGACCCTCGATTTAAGCAAACCTTTTACCGGTTCTGCATTATAATTTATCGATTATAATTTATTTATTACGTAAATAATTTTAAATAGTTGGTACAACAGCAAAAATGTTTGTCGCAGTTTAAATTTTGGACACACCTAAATAATACCAACAAGAAAGGAATGCTAAAGTCAAGCAGGCTCAACTCTTAAATACCCTGTACCACCCCACAAAAAAGTAATTAAATTAATTAATTAATTTAATTTAATTAATTAACTAAATTAATTATTTAATTAACTAAATTAAATATAAAATATTCCATGCATGCATACATACATTTACATTTACATCAGAATCGTGCCTTATGCGTGTTTGTGTACTTGTACATATGTATGTGTGTGTGCATTGGGCCTGGTTATATGGCTATAACTTTCTTTCCGATCATTCTATCATAATGAGACTTGGTATACGGTTATATAATAACTAACCTAATGTGACTACCAAATGCAATGTGTTCAAAATTCCAAGAATTACGGGAGTTATAGAAAATCGTTAATAGGGGGGGAGTGGGGGGGGGGGGGTGGATCAGAAAAAATGAACAAACTCGTCCTTTCTCGGTGTCAGGAGAATCTATATACCAAGTTTGGTTATTCTAGCTCTTATACTTTCGGAGATCCTTGTGTTCATGCAGACAGACGGACAGACAGACGGACAGACGGACATGGCTATATCGACTCGGCTTGTCATGCTGATCAAGAATATATATACTTTGTAAGGGTCTATCAAGCCTCCTTCTGTGTGTTCCATGTGCACTCGCACAAAACTAATATACCCTTGTACCCTTTGGGTACAGGGTATAATTAATTATACTTTCTGAAATATGAAAATTTCAGTATGTTGTGTTTTAACAAAAGTTAAC